TCTATCTATCTATCTATCTATCTATCTATCTATCTATCTATCTATCTTCTATCTACTTACTATGTGGTACTGGGAGTTGAACCAGGAGCCTAGCACATGCTAGGCAAGTACTCTACCACCATGCTACAGCCCAGGCAAAATAAAATAAGATTTAAAACATTGCTGTAGACCCTGTCTGCTGTAAGCTTTGGAGGTGGGTGGATCCAGCCTGAAGCCTACCTGTCAGCTACTGATGGTGACTTAGGAAAGGAACCTCACAGAGTGAGCCTCCCATCTGTGACAGGCATGTGCAGCACTGGTGTTTGGCAAACTCGGACATGCTCTAAGTGAGAGTGAATGCACCGGAGAGGAGAGGGAGCTGGGAGCTCCTGTACCTGCTGTGACCCCCTCCTTGTTATTCAAGCCCCCAGTGAGGGCAGGACTGGGGTTCTCACTCCTGAGACTTGTCTCCCGGAGGACCTGGACTCCTCTCCCACATCTCAGTACCTCCCCCAGAAGAGAGCAATCGGGCTGACTCCAAGAAAGCTCCTGAGCCTTTGGGTCCACGTGCAGCCCCCAGCCCCTCACACAGATGAAGGAACCCCCACAGACCTTCTGCTGTCATCGTGGATCTGATTCCGGTTCTTCAAAATCTCTTTGCCCAGGCTGCTCAGGCTCACCTGGGTTTCTGTGACATTGTGGGAACATCTCGAGAGGACCTCTGAGAACTGTGGGGCCAAAAGAGAGACTTCTATGGGGTCCTGAACTCAGGACTACGCTGGGCCATCTGCAGCGGTAACCCCGCCCACCCCTTATTCCTATAAAGTTCTGCCCCTGGGGCTCACTCACAGATTGCAGCCTGGACCACAGCTCTGTGGCTTCCTTTAGTTCCTGGAACTCTGACATCCCAGCTTCACTGCTGAACCTGGAAGAGAAGGAGAAGGCCATGGTGGGGAAGAAGGAGAAGGCTATGGTGGGGAGGAAGGAGAAGGCTATTGGGGAGGAAGGAGAAGGCTACTGGGGAGGAAGGAGAAGGCTATGGTGGGGAGGAAGGAGAAGGCCATGGTGGGGTTCAGGAGGCAGATGAAGAGGCAGAGAGCTCTGAACCCATACACTGGGCACAGTTTCTTTGTGACAGTATTGTTGATTTTTGGAGGGAGTTTGAGACAGAAGAACCAACTTGACATGGGCCCTTCTCACAGAGGTTGTAATATTGAGCAAAGATAAAAGGTTGAAATACCTGAATTCATGAAAATCTACAAGCCTACAATGCAAGGTAGTAAACGCCTTGTTAGAAAGTGCTATAACTAAATAGAATAAAGTTCCTCCCAGTAGAAACAGTAGTTCTTGACAACCAACAGCACATCACTGGGAGGGTACCGGCGCATAGTAGCCCAGGACTTGGACCATGAGCCTCCCATTGCCCCAGGGAGATGACTGACACTGAATTTGACCAAGAATGATTGAAATGAAAGGTGGATATAGTATTTGCAAGATGACACAGTAACACTGCCTTGGCTCTCTTGCAGGAAAAGTACACCTACACAGTAAGGGGTCAGTACACCTACACAGTAAGGGGTCAGTACACCTACACAGTAAGGGGTCAGTACACTACACAGTAAGGGGTCAGTACACTACACAGTAAGGGGTCAGTACACTACACAGTAAGGGATCACCTGGCACACATGGTGCACCCACAGTTAGTACCCCACATGGTCTGTGGTGTTTAACTTGACTCCAACAGTCCGTGCAACCCCTAACTTACCAAAGATGCAGGGTGGAAGAGAAGCCAATGGCAACAAGAGAGTGTTCTCTGAGTCTGGGGGTGGGGGCAATAAACCAGGGAGCCAGGGGGGAAGAACTTACAATAAAGTGTGGTTCTGGACTAGTTTCCAGTCTGAACAGAACAAGCTGTAAAAAGAAAGTGTAGGACAATGGTGACAGAAAAGTTCCAGCCACAATGGGTACCGCAGATGGGAATGCACTGATGGAAGAGGGCCCTCCAGTGAACGGCAGGCTGGTGACCCTGCATACTCCCAGCTTGCAGGCTGGTGAGAGGCCTGGGTGGGGGAGGGGCTTCTGCACTTCCTGGCTTTCTCCTACCTGTATATATTCTTTTAAAAAAAGACTTTTTCTCTTTTAATTTTTTTAGACAATATATTCTGATCATATTTTCCCCTCCCCACCTCTTATATCCCTACCCATTCAACTTTATATTCTTTTTCTCACTTAAAAGAAAACAAAAACAAAAACCAAAAACAAACAACCAATAAGACAAATGTTAGAACAGAGTGAAACATAAGTCATCCTCTGCTGCCAAACAACCTCAGGATTGCTGATGTCCCGATATCCGGATAATCCTCCAGCCAGAGACCTTCAGGACAAAGGACAGGAAGGCTGCCTTGCCAAGGAAGCACACGGAAGAGAGAGAGAGAAGCTGGGGTGGAGGCTTGCTACCAGCCCTTAGAGGAATCTGCAGGTCTGAGGGTGTCCCAGAAAGAATGGGTTGCAAAGCCCTGTACTGGGAGGCTTCACATATTGGCAGAGGCCCAGGAAAGGAAAGGTACTGATGACCTGTGACCCCCTGCAAGCCAGGAAGGAGATCACATCTGGACTCTAGCTCTATGTTGGCCCCTCTGCTCTCCATCCTCCCCCAAACACCTGATGTTCCTGACTTCAGAGCCTTGGAGGCAGAGTGGAAAACCCAGCTAGTTGACACCAGCCTCCTACAACCTGTCAGTGCAGGGTAAGCAGCAGACAGACACCCCATACATTTCTCCATACATCTTCCTCCAGACTGAGAACCCACAAATGATCACCGTGGTCAGTTTTGTTTGTTTGTTTGTTTGTTTTTTATACTAATCTCGCCAAGATTCCAAGCCTTCCCCACCTACCCGTCTCCCTGACTTTTTGACTCCAGGATATTTGCCTCAGGGCGTCCCTTCTATTCCCCACCAACTTGAACTTTGTGGGCTCCAAACCTTGGTGCCCTGGCTCCCTATCCCCATAGGGCCCTTCCCCAGGCTCATGTGCCAAGGAAGGACTGAGTGCACCAGGGCCACACAGGCCCCTCTGAGGGGCAGATGCCACACCCTACCCTTAAGTTCCAACTCTGTGCCCGCAGGGGACTAGCCAGGGGACGTCCAACAGGAGTGTTCTTGATGGCTCCTGCCCTCTGTCACCATCCGAAGGGACTCAGCCACAATGGGCTCTGGTCCTGTCATCTGGAAACACCCTTCTTCCCTTTACCCTCCTTCTCCCCATCACCTCATCAGCAGACTGCCAGGCCGGGCTCAAACAGAGATCCAGCCCACCCTGGGGAAGACCCTGAACTTCTGAGGGAAAGGCTCATGTTATGGGGCAATTGGGGCGTGTGTGTGTGTGTGTGTGTGTGTGTGTGTGTGTGTATGTATGCACGCGTGCTTCAGGAATGTTGTCCCACCTTGATGGGAAAGCTTCCCCGGGTGGTAGGACTTCCACCTCTCAGCACCTCCGTCCTCTGCCTTTCAGGATTCAGGCTGTGTTCCCTTCACAGCAGCACTCTGGCCAGCCCATCTTCCTTTGCTCTTCCTCCCCACCCGTTACCAGCTTAGCTTCCTCCTCCCCAGGCTCTTTCTTTGCACCTCAGAAGGCAAGGGCAAGTGGAAGACCCAGAGGACATAGGAGCAAAGCTGTGGAGGCCGAGAGTCTGGATTTCCATCCCTGGTCGTGTGGGAACAGTACCTGAAAAGGAGCCCTTCCTCTGGATTCTCTCTGGGGCTTGGCACAGAATGAGTATGTCAACTCATTCAAAGTCCTGGGGGATTAAGGCCCTACCTGGGGTAGGGAGCTGCTTTTCCTGGAACACAAAAAGGTGCTACCCTTTGTGGGGGGCTGGAGCTGTCCTTCCTGAGGTAAGGGACTGCCCGGAGCCCAGTGAGGCAGTGCCCACATGGATTTCTCCCTGCAGGAGGCAGGACTAAGCTGAAGATGGGTACCATTTGGGAAGATAGGGCATGAAGGATGGGGTGAGGATGCTAATGTTGCAGCGGGTGGGGGAAGGGCATACATTGCAGGAGTGAGGAGCAGGAAGGAGAGCTGCGGGGGCCCCAGCTGGACGAGGCAGAGCACCCACCTTTCAGTGCCCAGGCTTCTGCTGAGGAAGAGAAGGGCTGTCCGCGTGACCTCCAGTGTCTGCCGGCACGTGTTCTGAAGCACCTCCCTGTGTGAGGGCAGCCCTAGTCAGAGTCACCTTGACCAGGGCACTGTGCATGTAGGCATGGCTTTAGAGAGGGACAGAAGAGGTCTGGATGGGTATGCTAGGCACTCCTCCATCCACCACAGTACTCACAGGACCCAGTGGGATCCTCGAAGCATCAACGCCTGCCCATCCAGCAGGACCCGCGCCAGCCACAGCGCCTGGTAACCAGCACCCAGCACCCCCTGAAACATACAGATGGGCAGGGCAGGCCTTCCCCTGTGCCAAACCCCTTCTGTCTCCTGGGGGGCTGCCCCTCACCTTAGCTGTGTTGTAATCTGCCTGTAGATCGACCTTGGGGACGAACTTTGGGATGTCCAGAGCAGCTGCAGACAAAGATCCTGTCTGAGGGGCCTGCTTTTATGAACCGGGTCAACTCTGAGGCCATCTTTCCTTGTTCCCAGCTCACAGTCACCCCTCACTGCTGATCTCCCACCTAAACCTTCCCAACTCTCCAGGTGGCTTTTCTCTGGCAAACTTTGACCCGGCAGATCTCCGCAGTCTCAGGTCTTTACTGCCACCTTGTGGTCAGGTTTGAGGACTACACTCTAAAGCTTAAATCCCTGCCTCTCCCGCCAATAGACCCTAGTCTCTTGCAAGGTTAAAGCCTCCTCGCTCACTTCAGAGGAGGACTAAAAATAATCCAAATGAGAAGGAATGTTTCTAGAAATTAAGAAAAGAAGAAAGCTCTGGGCCTTGGTCCACCTGCCCTTCTCTCCAGCAGCTCAAACTACCCAAAGCATCCCCACCATTCATAGAGACTGGAGGGCCGAAGGGTTCCAAATACCCCATCTCTGTGGGAGGATTTGGGGAAAGCCAGGAAAGTCTAGTCACCAGCTCAAGTCACTCGGCAACTCAGAGGTGAGCTTAGAATTAAACCCCAAATTGGCGTCTACTGTCTGGGCCAGAGAAACATTTACGAGGAAAACAAGTCACGCCCTGGGCTGTAAACCCAAATGTTCTGGAAGAGAGTGTCTCAAGCATAAAAGATTCATCCCATCCCGAATGGCCCTACTCACGGTCCCTGAAGGCCAGCCCCTTGGGTGCATCATTGGCCATGCTGAAGAGAACCAGGGGGCTGCTGGCAGCTGTGTGGGCGATGTGCTGGGCTGAGAGGCTTGGATCAAGGACACAAGGGTGACCCTCAAAGAGGTACTCCTGGTGTTTGGGAGGCACGTTGGTCTGCTCATAAACAGCCTCCAAAAAGATGGCAATCCTAGAGGACACATGAGAGGAGGGAGGTGTGGGCACCAGGGGAGGGCTCAGCATTTGGAGGGGAGGGAGGCATCGGCACCAGGGGAGGGCTCAGCATCTGGGGGGATGAAAGGCATCAGCATCACGGGGAGGACTCAGCATTTGAGGTGGGGAGGTGTTGGCACCAGAGAGGGCTCAGCTTTTGGGGGGCAGGGGCCAGAGGGGGTAGCTTTTTCATCAAAGATGGAGCGGCAAAGGGCAGAGTTCATGCAAAATGAGAAGAAGACTAAAGAGTTCCAACGCCTAGCCTCTGACTTTGTGTCCAATCCGGCTGCACCCTCATCAAAATTCTCCTGATCCCATTCAGTGATCTGTGTGTTGGGGAACATGCTTGCAATCCTAGTTCTTGGAAGGCTGAGGCAGGAGGATGGAGTTTGAGGTCAGCTGGGCTACACATCAAGATTCTATCCCCAACAGCAAAGACCAAGAACTTAGTGAGTGCAGCAGTTCTATGAGAAATAAATCATAAGCCCAGAAGTCACTCTGTGGTGCCCCACCTCTGAGACTAATAACCCAGGCTCACACTGTAAAGACTGGAAATCTGAACACGAACCAGAAAGTCACTTGATTTGAACTTGGTGGAAATAGTACTTTTTCCAAATGTGTTTTGGGGGACGTTCCCTTGCACCTACACCACAGCTTAGATGTGGGGTGGGGAGGGACTCTTATTCGCTGTCTCTGTTTTTCCCACTCACGTGTTGTGGGCATGGATGTAGACATGATGCAGGACAGCCTGGGGCAGGGAGAAGACATGGATGATAATTCGCTGCAGGATGTCACTGGTCTCCGCAAAGAACTGGTCAAAGCCCCAGCATTTGGCCTGCTCTACCTCCAGGATGTTGGCCAGGATGGGCACCAGTTGACTCTGCAGCCCCCTACACATACACAAGACATGAAGACTGTCAGGGCTGGGGCCCAAGCATCCAAATGAAACTTCCCAGGCTACAGAAGAGAAGTGGAGAGCCCAGGGCTCTGTTGATACATCCCGGAAGACCTGACTCAGCAGAGAGAAGTGATCCCTATCTTAGAGAGCCTGCCCCGCTCACTTACATGGACAGTCTGCAGGTGATGGGGAGGCTATAGCTCCACTCCAGGGGCCCGTTCTCCTGCCTCTGAGTCCCAGAAATGGCCCCGACTGGCTTCTCTGTCGTGATTCTGTACCTGTAGTGGGGCAGAATGAGGTTGCTAGACCCCACCACCACCTCCCATTCATCCTATATTATCTCCTACCCGCAACTTTAAGAAACAATAAACTCCAACCAGAGAGTGGTTCATGTCACCCAGCCACTGTGAGGTAGCCGGAAAATGACATGGGAGCATCCTGGGTCTACCTGTGAGATCACCTCTGCCCAGCCAAGCTCCTGGCTTTAGGCGGAGTCCTTCTTGCTGTCACTATGGCTCTTCCAAGTCCAGCCACCTTCACATCCATGCCAAACAGTCTCTCCTCACTTTTCTAACTGCTCCCCCAATCTAGCCTTCCCTGATAGCCCATTCCACTCCAACATTCCTCCTGGTCCCTCTGGTCCACGCAGCTCACCCCAGGACCAAGGGTGCACGCACCAACCTTCCTGATGACACACCGCTAAGAGAAATACTCTGAGAAGACTTCTGTTTACTACAGGATGGAGGAGGGAAGAGGCGCTAACAATTGGTCAGTTCTGAGGAAACCATCCCAGAACGATTTCACATCGTTGAACATATGCTGACTTAGACCACTGCACTTCTGACTTCCAAAGTCACTGTGCTCTGCCTCTCCATACCTCTGCAGGCCACTAACTGCCACCAGCGCTGTCACAAGCACTTCTTCTGGACCGCCCTGCAACCCCAAAGCTCTCTCCTCTCAACTGCTCACTACCTACCGCTGATGCAGACTTAGGTTTTTCTTCCCCAGTATTTATTTATAACGAGTTCTTGGCGCTAGGTCCAGTAGGTGTTTTCCCACCTGCCCTCCAGCTAGAACCTTGGGAACTTATCCTTTTCTCCTACACAGCATCAGTAACAGCTCAGCAGATCCTCATATTACAGGGCCCTCATTTCAGTGCTTTGCTCTTTGGTTCTGGGCAGTACGTCCTGGCAGCCCTTGTTTTTAACTCCTCTTAACAGTCAGTGAGAGACACTAGGAAGACCTTGTGCCTGGGTACCACCTCCATCTTCACCCCTGTAGCCAAGGCAACCTTGCAAGCCTCCTTGAGCCTTAGTGGAAATGTGGTGGGATAGGAACGGGGGTGGGGGGCAGGGCTAGAAGGAACACTGAACTAACACAAAGGGGTATGAGTGCTCTCTACCAAGCCAGGGGTGTAAGGCTGTGCCTCTGGTTTGATTAGCAGTGGCTCTGAAAGAGTCAAGGTAGGGATCTGGGTAGGAGACACAGCAGGACCCAGTGGGGGAAGGGCCAGGTGTCTGCCAGGAAGAAGTTGAGGGGGGGGGCTGTCCCTTTCATTCCCTGCCCCATTGCCCACCGTACATGATCTCCTTGTTGCGCCGGGGCCCACCATAGGGGAGGAAGGGTAGACTACCGGTGGCTGCATGGTACAGGGTCACCCCAATACTCCAGAGATCCACAGTCACCCCGAACGCCTTTTGCTGGGGTTTGCGAAGCACGGCCCGCTCATACATGTCAGGGTGCTATGGGAGAAAGATAGAGGGCTGCCATGGAGGGGTAGTGTGGGCACTCCTAGGGGACTCTTAGGAAGGCACAAAGCAAGGGGCTGTCAGCTTGGGGCCGAGGGTCTCCAATATGCCACTTACCAGGTATTCCTCTGTACCATAGACAGAAACAAAGCTCTCCTCATCATCCAGCTTCCGAGCAGCCCCGAAGTCGGACAGCTTGTAGATGCTCTGCCCCTCCTCCCCCACCAGGCGCATGATGTTCCCAGGTTTGATGTCACGGTGGACAATGCCGTTCTCCCGCAAGTGGTTCATGCCAGCCACTGAGGACAGACAGCGCACAGTTCCTAGCTTGGCTCAGCTAGGGACCAGTCGGTCTAATGTCTGAGGTTTGTCCTGAGGAAGAGTCTGTCCTTGGATCCAAATAGACAGAAGCTGCCACAGGGGACTCAGTACAGGAAAGACTGGAGAACAGAGAGAAGCCCGGAGGGCTAAAAAGGGGCTTTCCAAGCTGGGGAGAGGGACCATTGGTTAAGAGTACGGGCTGTTCTTTCAGATGATCCTGGTTCAATTCCCAGCACCCACAGGTCAGTTCACAACTAGAACTCCAGTTCCAGGAGACTCAGTGCCTTCTTATGGCCTCTGCAGACACCAGTCATGCATGCGGTGCACAGACATGTACAGGCAAAACACCCACATACATAAAGTAAAAATAATGTAATACATTTTAAGGGGGCTGGAGAGAAGGTTCAGTTAAGAGCACTTGCCACTCCTTATGAGGACCCAAGTTCAGTTCCCAGCACCCACATGGTGGTTCACAACCATCTGTAACTCCAGGTCCAGGGTGTCTGACACCCTCTTCTGACTGCTGAGGGTACCAGGCCACACACAGTGCACATGCATTGATGTAGGCAAAACACTCATACACATTGTTACCTATTTTTTTTTTAATAAATAAAAGGAAGGGATCCCAAGGACATCATTATATTGGCTTACTTGGATTTTGTGGGGAGCCCAGGGTATATCTTCTCCATCTTATTATTGACTTGTGGTAAAATATACCTAACAATAGTTATCATTTAAACTTTTGTTTTTGGATATGTTTCACTATGTAGCCCAGGCTGCCCTGGAATTCCTCATCAGCCTGTCTCAGCCTCCCCAGTGTGGTCCTTCAATTTAACTGTTTTTAAGCACATGGCTTTAAGCACATTAACCTTCTCCTCCAGAATAAAGTTCCACCCAGTCAAACAGCACTCCCTACCCTGCACTCCCAGCCCTGCACAGCATTCTGCCTCTGCCTCTGCCTCCAGCAACTCGACTCCCCCAGGAGCTGCACCCTAGTTGAAGTGTGGTTTCTGCCTCTGTATGGCTTGATCCCTCAGCACAGTGTCCTCCAGTTTCGTCCATACTGCCTGTGTGTTAGAATTCCCTCCTCTGTACAGCGCTACTCCACTGCCTGCAGGCACCCAATCCTGTTTGGCTGTCTTACCTGCTGCCTGTTGTGAATGATGCTACTTTCAACACTGAAAACCAATCATTTTTAGAACGGTCTCTTTCTACGGCTTTGAGCTGAATCAATCACGTGGGTCCTCGTGGCCCTCCCCTCTGCCTCAGGCCCACTGGGACACCTGTTTCAGAATAGCACACTCATCCTGGACGTTGCCAGTGCAGAGGACCTGGGGATGGGGCAGGGCTCACCCACACAGCGCAGAACCACCAGGAACTCCTCCTCGGGAAGCCCAAACGTGTTTTCAGGGTCTTCCAGGACACTTAGTAGGCTCCCGCTGGGGCAGTACTCCATCACAATCACCTTCTGCTGGCTGCCTCCCTGTGCACAGGGCAGAAAGAAGCTTGAAGAGGAGGGTACTTCTGACATCTGTCAGGAGGTTGCTTGCCTAGAGCCCACAGCCCTCATTACTGGCGCAATCTCTTGCCTGGCCTTCCATCTCAGACACACGAACCCAAGAAACCCTCTCTGATCGGGCACTGAATCCCCCTTTCCTTTCCTAATGATTTCCCTATGTGGTCCCACAGCACGGGTTCCTTACCCTGCCCACTCACCCACCCACCCGCCGCCAGGGCTCTGGACTGCTGCTGAGCCTTGATTTGCCTATTCCAGGACTGCAAAGGTCACAATCAAGAGCATCCTTCTCTCACCGAGCAGAGGACCCACCGTTTCCTCCACGGCGAAGAGCTTGACGACATTCTGGTGGTCGAGCTTCCGCAGCACCTCAAACTCCCTCACTTGCACCTCGGGGGGCCGCCGGTAGCTGGCTGAGTTGAAGACCTTTACAGCAACCACCTCCCCAGATTTCTGGCGTGTGGGCATAGGGTTGGGAATCAACAAGGGGACCATATTGGTCCTACCCGTCAGGTCGGGGAGCTGCCACCTTTCCCTCTCTTTAAGCCTCTTTCCCAATCCAGCCCCAGAGGAGAGAGGTGGGGACTGGATGGGCTTACATCGCAGCCCCTTCCCCTACTCAGCGGACTGGAGCTGTACTTGGAGGTGACACACCTGGTACCCCACAAGGGATGACTTCTGTTATTGCTCATTTTGCCATAGATAAATAAGAACTGCCTGGGCAGTCTACCCGGCCTGCAGCTCCTGAGCACGGGGTGTATTCAGACACAGCTCTGCAGCCACTGTAGGACAAACCCAGACAGGCCCAACCTCCCAGTCCTGCTATTCCTAGATCGCCCTTGCTGTCACCTCCTCTTTTACCTTGCCCTCTAGTCCCAACATGTCTCTGACAGAGGCAGCATTCCGAGGAATTTTTCCAGCATCAGGGCAGACAGAACAGAGGCATGGGACCTTTTCCCAGCTACATAGAATCCTAATGCCCAATACAGGCTAGTTTTAGGGCATGTAAGGGTCTGGGGCCAGAGTTGCTATTACCTTGTTTCGGGCCTTGTACACACTGGCTGTGGCCCCCTGCCCTAGCAGGTCATCAGTGTGCCATAGGTAATTAGTTGTACTCTGCATCTCCCAGGTTTGGCTACCTTCCACCTGGGAAAACAAAACGAACAACCATTGGGGGTCCCAAGGTCCCATGCCTGACCTGAAATAGATACTGGTAGTCAGCCATCAGCTCCTAAGACCATCCCATGAAGGGCTCTATGTGGCCACGGCACAGGCAAGGGAGCGGAGTGTGTGGGGGGTATGGTGGTACAGGAAGATTAAGTAACTTCCCCCTAAAGAAACAAAACAGCAGCAGGAGGGCCCCAATGGGCACTTCTCTCTGTCCTGTACCCCAGGTCCCTTCCAACAAGTCTAGGGGGACTTTCTCTATCACCTCTTTCGGGCACTGGGGAGTCAGAGTTTCGGCATCCAAGCCTGGGATTGTCCCAGGAAGCAGATGCAGTGCGAGAAGAAGGGCCCTGGGTCAGCCAGGGTCAGGCAGAGTCAGTCACATCGCCACAAATCTCCAGGATTGCAACATGAGTCTAGAGCACCCCCCTTCACCCTCCCTTCTCTGCTTGCCTGGCCCCAAACTTCCTACTGTTGGGAGCTAGCAGCTGCTCACCAGGCAGTCAGGGCTGGCCCAGTGCTTTTCCAGAAGGGACAGGGCTGCAGGGAAAACAGCTAAGGAGAAAGGATGGGAGGAACAAAAGGGAGGGGTAGGTGACGGAGGAGGAGAGTGGGGAGGATCTCAGACCATCACACACACACACACAAGGGTCAAGCTCTGGGGAAGATCAGAGACTGTCCACACTCTGCGCCCCATCTTTGCTCTCACCCTGCTCCTCTCAAAAGCTGGTTCCTCTAAAGCAACCAGTTCCAGAAAGTGTAGCCTCAGAAGTCGCACTCACAGCCTATCTGCAAGATAGGGCCAGAGTCAGCCTTTGGGGATGCCTGGGGGCAGGAGGGGCCACCACCCCTTCAATGTTTTGAAATAAAGTTGCTTTAGGCAGGGCCTCTTCCTGCTCCAGCTGCCGCTCACTGGGTCTCAAACCAAAGATGGCTCGATTTTGAGCCTATTCTTTTTTTTTTTCTTTTTTTCTTTTTAAAGACAGAGTAGCCAGCCCAGGACCTTCAGTGGTATTGAGGATAGTCTTGAACTTCTGCTTCTCCCTCCCAAATGCTTGGATTATAGTTGTGCACCACCATTCCCTGTTAACTAGGTGCTGGGGATCAAACCCACGGCTTTGTGCGTGCTAGGCAAGCATTCTACAGACTGAGCAAGCTAGGTCCCAGCTAGTCGTCTAAATTAAAGATGCAAAGCCTGGAGAATGTCAACTTTTGTTTGAGCCAGAAGCCACTTGAAGAGGCCAGGAGTCACGCCCTAGTTTCAAGCAACACACTCACATTTGCATTATGCAAAAGTAAGGGTGCTGGTAAGCCCTTCCAAGGCAACATGAATGAGTAGCCTGTGGTTCTCCACTTGGTTGAAGAGTCAGTCCAACGTGAAGTCAACGTGAAGAGTGAAGTCCAACGTGAACTGGAATGGAGGTCAAGGTCCTAGGCTTGGGATGTAGGGGCACCAGATTGTAACACCTTCATAACTCGACCTTGGTCCTCAGCCTCACTCTGGCGTTAGCTGAGTCAGCTGAGATCAGGGAGACAGGCAGGAACAGAATCCCCCAGAGCTGCATCGTCCTGGGTTCTGTGCCTAGAAGCTCTGACTACGGCACATCTAGATCACCACTGCACTCTCGTCTCCCACCAGCCCCTTCTCTACACGGAATGTGCAATAGCCTTCAATGAGCCAACACCAGCCGGCTCATGGACCTCCATCCTCCTTGGGGGTTCTTCTGTGGCAGCTGTACTTACCTGCACTCCGAGGAGCCCAGAATCAGGCAGGCTCTCCCTGGCAAGTGTGTGTTATGCTTTCTGTCTGGGGCAAGTTCAGGAGCTGAGCTACACCGGAAAGAGAAGGGTGGGTGGATGAGAGGCCCCCTGGGTGCTGTTTGATTCTCAGCCCCATCAAAGGCCACCAGTCTCAACTTTTTAACCCTTTCCCGTTGTCACCTTCCCTACAAGACTGGGAGTTTTGCAGCCTCTTTCCACATGTTCTGGGAACCTCTCCAGGCTATTCTGGGCCTCAGAGAAAAGATCCCAAGCAGAGGTCAGTAGGGGTACCCAGAGCTGAACTCCAGCTTTGCATCAGCATGTTGGGAAGCAGAGGCCAAGATCGGAAACTTCTTGACCAATAGTAGTCTCCTCAGGGCCAGAATCCTCCCTGCCCCTGCCAGGCCTCCAAACAATCCTTTCTGAGAATCGTTATTTTTTTCAACAGAAGGAATGCAGTACACCACCAGGTTCCCAGTAGCCTTGAGAAAGACAGGAGGGGGGCATTCAGTTGAGTGTTTCCTTGAAGCTGCCCCCTGGCTCCCCCACGCCACCCTCCTCCACAGCCGCTACACACTCACCCCATCTCCCAGCTCAGCTGCAGGGGAATGTAGACTTGTGGGACTGGGTGGCATCCCCAGGGATTTCAGGCCTTGAAGTCAATCCTGGTAGCCATGGGCCCCCAAGATCCACACACAGGCAAAGCTAGTGGTGATGGCCCTGGACCTGAGGGTTCTTCCCTGCCTCTCTGACAGCAGTGGGTACCCAGAAGAGCAGAGTCCAGGCTCTAAGTTCTATCCTACTTCCTGATTCACTTCTCTCCCTCTCCCCACCTCTTTCCCTCCCTTCCTCTCTCTCTCTCTTAAAGAGACAGGCAGCTCAGTCGCTGCCACACACACACCTCCACCCCACATCAGGAAAGGATGCTATAAATTGTCTAGTGGAAGCCTTAGGACCCTTGTCTGAGCCACAAAATAGTCAGCAGCCGAGGCTGGGGCTTCTGTGATAGGCCACTGCATGCTGTGCTGTTATCTTTGGCAGGGAAATTCAGGGCTATGCTTAAAATCAACTAAAGAGGTTAAACAAGTTAACCAAGCTGAAAATTGCCTAGAAAGGCCCAGGATCTGTGCTTGGCCTCTCCCAGAAGCTGGACAGGGCTTGTCTTCCTTACAGCCTACAAGAACAAGCACACACCCAGGTCATAGCCTCTGCTTCACTGACCTCACACACAGTTCCACAGTCAACCCCACCAGCTGCAGGGCAGCTTTCTGACCACAACCTGAAGGTTGGCTTTAGGATGTGTGAATGGCAGGGAATGTAGTATCTGGTAAACTCTGGGAGACTAGGAAGTGATTTTCAGACCACATTTGATAGAATCAAATCTTACTTACCTTTAGTAATTTGCCCGCGATTTGCCAACTTCTCGGCCATAACCCCGTGTCCTAAATATCCTGGGAAGCTGGAAGGGGTCTGTGCTGCTCTGGTCAGCTCTGAGTGGGCAGTTAGATAAGTGGTTAAAACCAGGAAATTCCATGTTTCTCTAGAATGTTGGTGGGACTTTCCCCTGGCCACACCTGGTGATTTCCTGCCAGCCCCACCCCATCAGAGGGAGGAGAGGCAAGAACAGGCCCCAAGCTTATTGCCTTGGCTGACAGATTCACCGGATAGTGATAGTAGCCTGACAGCTAGAGGCCCTGAAGTGACTTCTCACAGCATGGCCAGGAGGGGCATCCCTGAGGGTTCCACACTCCGGCTTGTGTTGTCACAGGTTTCTACCTGGCAAGAACACAGGGAACTTGTACTTGCTGATCACCCATGGCTTGCAGAGGACAGAAGCACTTGCTTTCTCTAGCTTAGCTTTCACTTAGCGGCTGCTGCAAGAGTCTCCTACCCTCTAGCAAGGTGACTCCTTTCAAGGTGGCTGCTCCATCAGTCTAGAGCAGTGCTTCTCAGCCGTCCTAAGGCTGCCACCCTCTAACACAGCTCCTCAAGTTGTGGTGACTCCAACCATAGCATTTTGTTGCTACTTCATAACTGTAATTTTGTTACTGTTATGAATTGCAATGTAAATACAAGTGCAGAATATCTGATATGTGAACCCCCAAAGGGGTCACAACCCACACATTGAGGACCACTGGTCTAGAAAGTCATCTGAAGGACTTTCATGATCAGAGTACCCCTCTGGCCCCCCAGGGGTACTGTTTTGTCCACTGAGGTTTACAGGAGCACCTTGCCTATTCTCAAGGCTGCTCACTTTCCTCCGTGAACCGGCACTCTTATTTTCCTTTCCCTGGCTAGCCTAATTAATCTCTTTTCCTCAGAGGCCTAGGTATCTTATCCCAGAGATGTGGGGTGCTGGACAACGAGGTGGTGAATGCAAGGAAATACATACTAAGGAAACAGTGGCTTTGTGGACCTTGACGGGACAGCAGGAAGGGCTTGTCAGGCTTGCTGGGTGCTCGAAGTTAGGCAGAAAAGAGGAACTAGTTCAAGCATAGGAAGCAGGGGCAGAGGTGCTGAAGCATGACAAGGGCATGGATAGTTCAGGGGATTGTACTTGGGATGCTAGGGGGAACCAGCAAGGCAGAACTGCACTGCTAACATGGTACTTTACCAATAGATTCTGGGAGCAAACGTCCTTGATGTGGACAAAATAGAGGACTGTCCTGCCCACTGTGTGGAAAGTTCAGGAGGCTAGAGAGAGGAGGACATCCATATGGGGCCTTGCTACATCTTCCCAGGCCCAAGAAATCATAGAAGTAGTGGCAATCCAAAGGCAGCATAGGGACCAGAGGCGTGTGCGTGTGTGTGGCAACTCTGGGAAAAAAACCCCTCATGTCTGCTACTGATGGAGCCTGGAGTGGTAGAAAAGGCCGCTACATCATCATCAAAGCCACCTCCTAAAAAGGACTTGTCATTTAACCTTTCTCATAGGATTGGTATAAAACAAAGAGATGACATACTTGGTACCCAGTGGGTTTGGAATAGGTATTATTTTGGGCAGAGTGGCACGTCTGTGGTTCCAGCTTCCAGCGAGGCTGAAGCAGGAGGTTCATTTGAGCCTAGTAATTCAGAGTCAGCCTAAATAGGGCAACCGAGCTAGAGCTGTAGCTCGAGTGTAGCTAAGTAGTAGTACAATTCAGCACGCATGAGGCTGAGATTCCATACCCATTAGTGGCTGCTGCAACCCCCCGCCCCCGACACACACACACACACACACATACACACACACACACACACACACACACACACACACTGCTTTTCAGTACCTTAAAAGTAAGAAAGAATCGGGGCAGGGAGGTATTTGTGTGTGGGCTTGTTTATAGGGCTGTGCACGGGCTGTACTTAGTCAGAGGCTAAATGACAAAACCTCGGTGCCTACAGCTAATTGACACCTTCGTAAGTCAACTCTGACCAGGAGTTTTGGTGCAGGGGGGGACAAACTACAGTCAGAACTAGTACTCTTGCTCTTCCCAAGCAATGTAAAAAAGGGGATGTACAGGGTGCACTATCCAGGCCCCAAGGGACTTGGACCTTGTGCAATTTTCTGTCACAGTCCTAATCTGGAAATATGTTTCCTTAAGACCACGCCTTCAATTTAGCTGAACTGAAACAATTGAAAGTGAGTTCATTCTTCCACAGCCACTGCCTGTCTATGCCTACCCTGGTATCTGCTGTTCCTCCTGAGACAGGATCATGTGTCCCTTCTGTTGGCACTGCCACCTCCACTTGGGCTATGCAACTCAGCTGTCCCTCCAGACTGTCTATCCCTGGGTCTGCCCACAGAGCGAGCAAGCGTGCCTCCACTCTTTCTATCTGTTGAACAAACCCTGGTCCTTGACTCCTCTGGATGCTCCCAGCTCTCGGAGCTGCTGGGTCTTCCTTCTCTGCTGCCTAGTCCACTCTAGTGAGATTTCATTTCCCATCTGCAGAAAAATCCTTTCCTTTTGTTTTGTTTCCTTTTCTGAGGCAGGATCTCTCTATGTACCAAGAAGTCCCATCCTCAGCCACCCCCCTTTTTTCTTTTGAGACAGGGCACCTCTAACTAGTCCTGGCTGTCCTGGGACTTGATAGGTACACCAGGATGGCCACAAACTCACAGGATCTTCCTGTCTTTGCCTCCCAAGTGCTTGGGTTAAAGGTGTGCTCCACCATGCCCAACAAAAAATGGTTCTTTTCACACCAGCAGTACCTCATCCCCACATCACTGGCCATTTAGCAGTTGGCCCCTCCCTTTGTCAAGTGCTTCCTTTTCCTGGTTGCTGTAGTGTGTTCCCTTTTGCCACCTAGGCGCTGAGCTTACTCCATCTTTTTTATTTATTTATTTTTTTTGGATCCTTCTTTCCCCCTTTCTATCTACACTTCACATCAGAAATCTCAGTTTGAATTCAACTCTTACATCTTCCCACTTGTGTATCTTTTGGTCGTCTCAGCATGGCCTGCCTAAGCAGAAATCTTAATTTTCCATGTTTGATTTCAGACCACATTGGCCTTCCCCCTTTTAAAAATGGAGTCTTATATTGCCAAAGTTGGCTTTAGGCTGTGATCTTCTTGTCTCAGCTAATGAGCATCTGGGACTACTGGCACGTGTCACACAGCTCCATAATGGCCTTTCTTGTCCAACCCAGCATCATTTTCACATTTACTTATTTTGCTTTTCTTATGTTGAGTAGGAAACAAGCTCTACTGCCTGTTTTTCCTGCTCGGCTCAGCGCTTGAATAGACCAAGTCGGTTATTAACTAATTGATTCTTTGCCACATGTAATATAGGGTTAGCTTCTGAGTCAAAGGAAACTTCCTGTCACTGTGGCAGCTCACGCTTGGAAACCCCAGCACTCAAGAGGCTAAAAAAGGAGGATGGAATACACCATGAAATCCTTTCTCACCTACCTTCCTAGAACAATGGGATCTATAAATGGATAACCCTAAATCCATACTCACCTGGTCTCTTGCTTTGGTTCCCATTCGGTTGAAATGCATTTATGTATTGACTGTTCACTGCTTCCATCAACGTCCCATCAGAATATATATGAAAGAGGACCCCAAAAGCATGACCTTTGCTGTAGGATTCTTTAAAAGCATCTTTGTTGCTTTGCCCACAGTCTAAGAGCTGGCTCCATCTGAGCAACTCTGTGGTTCCAGGGATCTCCTCTTCACACACTGCTGCCAGGGTAAGGCCCTGTACCACAGGGTGGCAGAACAGTTTCAATTTTGACTTGCCTCGGGTAACAATGCTGCATGAGCATCATTAACAGAGAGAGATAAGACAAGTTGGTAGAGCAAGAAGACACTGAATAAAAGGTACATAGCAGACAAACAGGAAGGTGTCCGTGGGTAGGAACCCGTGTTATTACTGAACACAGGCAATGCCAATAAACAGACTTGACTTATCCTCAGAGATATCTGGTATTATATTAAGTTCCCTGAAAACAAATGTTGGCCCCAGGCTTTGAAGAATTTATTCTAATTTGTTACCTCCCTTGGTATTTTACTGCTTTTGATAACTAGGTATTTATTCATTACAAATGTCCACATTGCACAAGATTTGTGCAAATGTAAGCCAGACCAAATCCCAGCCCAGAGAGGGGAGTGGGCATGAAGTCTCACTCCTAGCAAAGGAGTTATTAGCAACTGTGAGCAGCTGGAAATGGAGGGTCAATGCTCTCTAAGAGTATAGACCCAGATAAGAAGACTATGCTTCAGTAGAAGGTTACATATCCAAGAATATTTGGGCAGCACAAGTCAGCCTTGAAGGAGGGAGCAAGGCTGGGTGGGTATGGAAGGGGGGTGAGTCTGGGGAGGATTAGAGGATAAATACAATCAAAACACGTTTTATGAAATTCTTAAAAAATTAAATATGAATGTACCTATGTATGTATGCACACTTGTCCTTACTTGGAGTATGAAGGAAGCTTACAGTGTGAGAGGTTAAATAGCCCCACACAAAACAGGAGCTGTGTGCAGAATGGGATCAAGTATACTAAGCTGGTTGCTCATATACCATCAAGGAGGTAAGATAAGGACAACTGTGCTATTTTAAAAATAAAGCAACATCTTAAAAAATAATTCTGATGCTGGCTGTGATGGTGCACATCTTTTGTCCTAGCATCTGGGAGGCAGAGGCAGGTGGATCTACGTGAGTTTGAGACCAGTCTGGTCTGCAAAGCAGGTTCCAGTACAACTGGGGCTACATAGAGAAAAGCTGTCTTAGCAACAAAAAAGTTTTCAAGGGCATAGTGGGACATGCTTTTAATCCCAGCACTCTGGATGTGAGGCTGGTAGATCTCTGTGAATTTGAGACCAGCCCTAGTCGACAGAGTAATTTTGAGATGGCCAGGGCGAGAAGGGGAGACCCAGTCTCAAACAAGCAAACTATGTGTTTGTGTAAGTGTATGTAGATGTACACCACAGACACACATGCACTCTGCAGACTCAGCTTTCTCACTTAGAAGTGAAGCCTCCAAGAGACGAGTTTTGGGGGTTTCAGTCCATGACTGGCTGACCTCATTGCTTTGGGCTTCAGGTAACGTATCATGACAGGCACACATGGTAGGGTAATGAGCAATACTGCATGAACTCTACCCTCAAGCTCACTTTCTACCAAAGCACAAAGCATCTCTAAGGGAGAGGATGCGTTCCTGTATCTTCTACCCCATCAGCAACAAGGCATGTTGGTCAGAATTTCTTCCAGATACAGGGGATGGCCAAAGGCAGGCTGACTCAGAGATGTAGCTGTGAAAGTCAAAGAACCATTGGCAGGGACTGGAGAGATGGCTCAGCAGTTAAAAGTATTGGCTGTTCCTGCACAGGACCAGGGTTCAGTTCTCAGCAGCCACACAGTGGCTCACAACTGTCTGTAACTTCAGTTCCAGAGGATCTTATGCCCTCTTCTGACCTCTGTGGTACTGTACGCATGCTGCACAGACAAACTTGAAGGCAAAACAGTCATACACACTAAGCACAAATGGTAAATCTTAAAATACAGAACCACCTGGCCACCCATAGTCGTAGCTGGCAGTTTCCAACCAGCTTTATAGGTTTCAAGTCTTTCAAGTGAGAAATCTGATCATAAAGACAGAAACGAACAGTCCTTATTAAAAACAAAAGGCAGGTTCTGTTAAGGAAGTTCTTATGGCCACAGACTGTCAACAGTATGCTAGAAGACTTCCTACTAAACCTCTGAGGTACCACACAGGGACCAAGTGGAGCCAATGGCGCAGAGGGCAAGAGAAGCCAAGAGAAGCCAAGGTCATCTTGTTCCTCCTGTGGCTTGGCGTGGGCTCTGTTAGCGCAGTTTTGACTCAGTTCTTTTAGGGAGTGGGGAAAGGGAGATGACCTGCAGCAGCGGAACCTAAAAACGTATTTTATTCTGAAGTTGTGCTTTGGATTTTCCCCAATTCAACATCGGCTGAGTGAGTCTTAGGTTCACACAAAGCATCTTCAAGCATAGATACAATATTCCAGTTATCAACACCATTTTAAAGAACAGACCATTTTACACAAATGTGACATACAAATCAGACGCCACCACATTGCAGTTCCCTGGAAGATCTACGTTCTCTTCTGAACCGAAGTCCATGCACACCAGCCCTTCCAGTGGTCTGTTCATCCTGGTGCTGGAGGATTTCTCATCTCCTTGGGGACAGACAAGGGTGGCCTGAGGCAGAGACCAGCATTTCCAGTTTATAAGCTGCTGGTGGCAAACTCCTCTACTTTCCAAACTGGGATGCTGGCAGCCCCACCCCACTTTTCTTCCCCAAAGATTAAGTCCACACCAAGGAAAGGATCCATGCCACGAGGGGCAGAGCAGGGCTATTGGAAGCATCATGCTGGTTTTGGGCAAGCCTATCTGAGGAAGGCTAGTTGCCCAAGGCCTTGAGTGGCCGGCTCCTTTTGGCTTTTGGGTGTAAAAATCACAGTGTGCAACCTCAATTCCAGTTGAAGTGAGCTCTGCTGAGGAGGACTCTCCTCCTATTGGTTCCTACTCCTTTTAACAGGACCATCTCACAGGCGTCAGAAGCACCAGAGATAAGGAAGACAGTGAGGTTCCCAGAGTTGGGTTCAGTAGGGAACCACTTGTGCACTGTCCAGTTCATTATGCAAATCAGCAGATGGACATCGACCAAAGGGATGACAAACACAAATAATGTACAGGACTAAAAGAGAAGGCAAGAACAAAAGAAAAGACCCACAGTATGGTCTTTAAGAAGCTCCACTTTTACCTTCTTAGAGAGTAGTGTCCTGGAGAGAGGATAAAGAGTAGGCTGGAAGTGTCTATCACTTAGATCAAGAGGAATGTAAGGGCGGGAGATCATTTCAGCAAGGAAACAGATCCTTAGGTCTGAAAGCCCCCCTTGGCTCAGGAGCAGTACAAGCCCAGGTCAAGATGACAGGTCAGTAAAAAGAGCAGTGAGAACCAGGCAGGCCAAGGACCTAGGGGTGTCCCTTGCAGTCTGACTCACTCACCTCTCTAGTCTCTCTGGTGTTGCAAGTTACTCTCCTTCAAGTGACTCCTTCAGGCTCCATTTCCTTCACACACAGAGAAACATCCACCGCCTTCTAAAGTTCCTACTACCAACTGCACATATTGGTCCAAAAGGATTTCTTCTAGCCCAAAGCTAAGAACATTCAGATTTTCCAACCTGAATGGAAACCCACCATCTTTTGAACTACAGAAAAACAATCAAGTTAAATAAATGCAGAGCTTTCAAACCAGAAACCAGAGAAGAGTGAGCCTGAGCTTCAAGGAGCTGTTGGAGCGCGTGGGCCTGAACCATGATGACTTCCAAGCCCTGGTGCTCTTGGGGGAAGCATGAGGAGAGGAGTGGGTGTTCGAGCCCCAGGCTTGCAGGTTGGCTAGAGCATTCCATGGTAGCTCATCTGAAGCTGCCAAAGGCAGGTCCCACAGAAAGCATTCAATTCTTTACTTTTTTAAGATTCTGGTTTTAGAAAAATAATTTGGACTCTGTAGGAGGGTCAAAGTTCCCTTAGTTGACCTTACTTGGGTAAGCAAACAAACAAAAAACAGTCTCAAAGTCCAGGGTCTCTAGACTGAATGAGGGTTTTCCAAGCCCCTGCACACCTCCAGAGACAGCCTTATAAAAAACTAAGCCAGGAGGTAAACTTGTAATAGTTTTAATCTGGGAACAATTTTTGGATGAGCAGAGAGCAACTTAAATTTCTTTAATAGGATAGTGAATTTTAAAAGTTCTAATGCCAAAAAAGGTGGGAGGAAGAAAGACCCATTTCTTACCCTTCTCAAACCTGCCATAAACACAATAAAACTTGAAGACTTTTTACTCTAAAAGGAACTAGCTATAAAACTGTCTTATACTGGAAGACATCTTAAATGAAAAATGATGTGTCAAAGACAAAGACAGGAACCAAAGAAAAGACTATATGTTCAGAAAAATCTTTAAAAGCTCCTCAATAAGACTGGGCTGTCCTTCTACAGAATGGAGCAGAGCAAATGAGAAAACCAGTGATCAGCTCACGGCAAGAGGAAGAAGACAATCCCCACCCCACATCAGATCACAGGACTGCCCCATTCTGCTAAATTTCTGATAGAGAGATTTTAAAGGCCAGGTTTCTCTGGTCCAAACAGAACAGTTGTGAGGACAACAGAGACTCCTGGTGGCTTCTGTGTGAAATGACACAACAACAAAGACCAGAGAGCAGAAAAACCTCTGTGTGTATGCATGAAAGTGCATGCGCACGAATATATATTTATAGAAAATGAAAACTGGGCTATATATGATTTTTCAAATTAGTACTCAAAACAAGATGCTACCGAGAGCTAGGTGACTGCGACCAACCATCTGGTCAGTGTATCCTCTATGGTACGAAGGGGCAGAGACATAGGCCCAGGTCCCCATGTCTTGCCTTGGCAGATATAGCAACCTGATCATGGAAAACTTGTTTCTGGCTAACCTAAGAACAGTATGTACTGTAGCTGGCTGGATTACAACAGAGGAGAGCAAAAAGCAGAGGGAAGGGCTAGGAAGGGAAAAGAAGTAACAAGGGCTTCATTCTCAAGGATTGGATAATGGGAAGGCTAATTCCTGTAAGAACAACTTAGAATCTAATTTTCAACTGAAGTCTCCAAGCTAGTTAAATAGGAAGATTTTAATAACAGTCAGTCTCCTTGTCTAGAACAATTAAGTTATACCCCTCAGACAGTACAAGACTTGTCAGTGGACTGTGGGGAAGCTGATGAATTGACACCAGGGCTCGTGGCATTTGTTTTGGGGAAGACAGTTGGTTTGGGCCGTGTGGCTGGTGGTTTGACTGCAGCAGCCATCTTGACAGACTTGACAGGCCGGAAGGCGCAGGCAATGTCCCCAGCAGTACTGGCGCTGCGCTGGAAGGCAGGCTCAGGGTCCTTGAGGAGCTGAGTGTGCAGGGGGCTGGAGGGCTCAGATGTGGGGGCTACCACTGGGGAGGTCTTGAGGGGTTCCAAGGTGTCCAGGACCACATCAGGGGTGTGCTTAACACTGCTCTGCCGCTCTAACTCTCGAAGCTCATTCAGGGCAGAGTTCATTGTTGCTTCAATATCCTGCAAAACAGGAAAAAGGAAGAAGTAAGTCAAACCAAGACAGATGTCCCCAAGGATCCTATTTCAACCAAATAGGCCAAGCCATGAAACCAAATATAAAATGCCTTATTTTACTTGGCCAAAGTCCTTGAACATATGAATGTGCAGAATGTGGAGAAAGGGGACAGAGAGATTTTCATCATCAGGAATTTAGAAAGACTAATTGATGACTTCTGGACATGACAAGGCTGCTGCACACACCAACTCATACCATTTGTGGTTACCCTCAAAAGATCAAGCCAGCCACAATTTCAGTAGAAACTGGGGAGAGGCCCGAGGCCACACCCCTATCAGAGGAGCTACTGGCAGTTGATGGCTGCTGAAGAAGAGTCACTCACTTTGGGGATGGGGCTTCTGGTAGGCTGACCGTGCCCCAGTAAGTGGCCCTAGACCTATGCATATATGGAAAGTATACAAATAAATATACTTCCCAAAAATATATAAATAAATAAATATATATGTTGAACTCAGGGAAGTATTTAAAAAGATAGTAAAAAAAGGAAGACATGAGGTTGGGAGGAGGTGTTAGGAGGGGGTGGAGGCAGTAGTGGATGACATGAACAAAACACACTGAATAAATGTATTAAACTTAAAAATTAAGAAAAATATTAAAAAAGAGAAAGTAGCTGAGTTTTTTTTTTTCAACTTGAGTACTCGGTTTTAGTGAGAGGTGCCGAAACGAATCTGATGAAATGACATATAATTAAATGAAGGGGAAAGGTAATGAGTATACAGAAATTGATGATGTAATTCTCTGTGTTTCTGTGTGTGTTTGAAAGTGTACACAGTGAACAAATTTTACAAAGTGGTAAAGATCAAATATAATTCTTATTTTCTTGATTTCAAGGCTAAAGGTTAAAGGGATTATTCCTTCCTTCACAAGAGCTAAGGAAGGTTCAGGAGCCAAGCAAGTCCTTGAATATTTATCAGGATAATGCTTCAATTTTCCAGCACATCCAAGTGTGCAACTTGAAACCGTTTCCTCCTATCCCACACCATGAAAGGGAACCCAAGAGTGGCCAAAAGGGGGAGCCAAAGCCCACATAGGTAAGTTAGCATCTACAAACAAGGAGGCTCAAGGCAGAACCAAAGCACCTTTGTAGGCAAGCATCCAGTTAGAGTGCCCAGCTCCCATACCCTCCCTGAAAACTTGTGTTTAATATTGCGCCCCACAGCACCACAGGACTCCTCTTTGGGATCAAGAATACTTTGAGAGATTATAAGTTTCATGTAAGCCCCAGGCTCCCCACTCAGGGTTTCCTATCTGAGGCTTGTTATGTATAATAGTGACTCATTTTCACCAATCACTGTGGCATTTATTAGCCTTTCTTCCCCTCTCCTGCAATGCCAGGGATGGAACTCAGGAGTCTATACATGCTAGGCCAGCATTCTGAGCCTGCATCATGGAGCTACACCTGTGGGCTTCTCAAACCTTTTAGAATGCTCAGAAAGAACTCTATTTCCTGGCTCTGTCCTGTAATGCAGGTAGTATGTTCACAGTTTCTAACACTTTGGTTAATGACTGACCAAAAGAATATCAAGGAGGATTCCCATGGTGTAAGGTAGATTGCTGTCAGGAATGTAAACAGGATAGAAGGTGAGCAAAGCAAGACATCGCAGGCCCAGGGCTCACCACTGGGCCTGACAGGTGTATCTCCATAAGCAGAGCACCAACGAAACCAACAGAGACAATACAGAGCCTCTATTGCCCTTTCCAGATCACCCTGCAAGAAGAGGCGAGGAAAAGGACAAATACAAGCCCTTAGTTCCTACCTGTTCTAATGAAAATTATATAGCTGGGAGAGACGTCTGAGAGAACTGCTTGGAGTGGCCCCAGTAGTTGGATGTTTAGAGGTCGAGTTGGGTTTCTAATATTTCATGGAAAACAGAGCCATCAATGTAGTGCAGATGAAAAGAAAGGTCCTGCAATCTGGGAGCTCATCTGCATTGTTACCTGAGCTTCAAGCAACAAGAATACTTTGGGATCTTTAAGACAGAATGAGATGGTGGGCTAATTATCTACCTACAAGCATTAGAGATCAGCTTCATGAAATGGGGTGATGGGGATGGACAGAGAAATATGACCTGGCCTATATTTGAGTCTTAGCTTCACTAAAGTTGACTATTGTGTTTCTATCATCTATCTGTCTGCCTCCATATCTACCTAAATATCTACTTATCTATCCATCTGATTTTTCACGTGTGTGTTCTATGTGCAGAGGCCAGAGGAAGACGCCAGATATCCTCTTCTAGTGTTCTCTGCCTTACTGTAGAGACTCTTACTAAATTTGAAGCTTGTTATTTTGGCTAGGCTGGCTGGCTGTTCAGCAAGCTCTAGGAATCTGCCTGCCCTTAATCCCCAACACTGAGATTACAGGCATACAAGGTTAAACTAGCCTTTTATGTGGGTGCTGTGGATTTGAATTCAGCTCATCTTGCTTGTGTAGCAAGTGTTCTTATCTACTGAGCCATCTCCTCAGACCCTACCTTAGTGTCTTAACACATGAAACTTGAACTAATGGACCTTAATCAAAATATTCTTAACTGCTGGCTTTAAAAACTGTTTACAATAGCCTGTAAACAGTCAGAATACGAATAAGAAGATAGAATTCTATTAATTCCCCTTTCAGGTTTTGTTGGGGAGACAGGGATAGGCAGACTGCTCAGTAAGCTGTCTTGGTAGGTTCACATGTATGGTACTTGCTGAACCCTCTAAAGAACATACAGAGGATTGGACTGTTCTAACTTCTGTTAGCTGCTTTGAGTGTAACTGATGAATGCAGACTTCCTACTTATTGTCCAGGGCCCCTCAGTTACCTGTGCAATGACTTCGGGGTCCATGGGTCGATGGTTATTGAAGCTTTTAGACCTTCCTGCAGTGGCAGTCTTCCGGATCTGTGGACTGTCCAGCCGGTTCTTCAGGGATGAATGGCGGCTGATTGAGTTGAGGTTCCCATGGCTGCTGACGGAACACTTATCTGGCCCTTCCTTGGGGAGATTCTGGCTCATGATGGGCTGAGAGGATGGCCGGCAGCTAGCCCCCACCCCCGGGGAGGAGGAGTCAGTCAGAGAACTGCCCAGCCCATGGTTGTCACTCCGAAAAGCTTTTCTGATGCTCCCAGATTCTGGACGCTTCCTTTGCCTTCAACAAACAGAAATGGCATCTGATCAGGAAGCCCTGGGTCCAAGGGAGCTAGGATTGTGACAGAGGGGCAGAGGCTGGCACCTGGGACATCTAAAGAAAGTCACACAGAATACCCTACTTCTTCAGTTTTTCTTTCTCTTGTTTTCTGTATGGATCGGTTCCCTCCAACCCCCTACCTGGGCAAAGGTGAAATGGATACTTACTTGGTGGTTGTGAGCTTTGAGTTCTAAACATGTAAGATGCTGTCAGAAAAAAATTGCCTGTTCAAGAGAAAGTTTCTAATGGGATAAAGATTCATGAAAAGACCCACTCCATTGCCTGCCCGAACAGAAACCCAAGCCCCAGGTGAGAAAGTTTCACTGTCACCAAGGAGGAGAGAACTGCTGGAAACAGGAGTTTACTTTTTCCAAATTTCAGTTTGCTCAACTGTACTATAGCAAGTCTGTCAACATCTGAGCTCTGGCAAAAGGCTATTTCTTGTTCATAGACATGGAAGAGATTTTTCAAGAAACTGCAGTGGCACAGAGGACTCACTGTGTGCCTAATCTTAGGGTAGAAGGGTACAACTCCTAAGTCACCCAGCCCTGGGCCAATTTATTTCATACCACAAAAGGCTCTGAAATGACCCTGTGATGGAATGATTGTAGTCGGATCCTAGTTATATGGGTATTGTTTACTACTGAATAATTTTATTTTTTTGAACCAGATTTTAAAGGACCTCAATTAAGATGTCATCAAGCTGCTAGTTCAGATAGCAGCTGCGTAGCTCTGATATTGAATCTACTGAGGAAGATGGGCTGAGCTGGAATCAGCATGGTAATGGTAGGGCTGCAGATTGGGGGCCGTCTCTGAAGCATAGCTAATGTCTTAAGTCAGTTCTTGTGCTGCTTACAGCTGAGTTCTGCTTTATCTTTCTAGGGCCAGTAGAGTGTGGCCCAGCAGCCTCTCCATGAATGTGGCTGCTAGGCAGGTCTAGCCTTGTGAGTCAGCCATTCTCAACCAGAAAGAGGATGATCTTTAGTCTCGGAAGGCCCTGCTGCCACGAGCCGTCCTTTGTGAAGTTTCCCATGACACTAGTACCTTCAACTACAGACAGAAGAGATTCCTCCTTCACATCTTCCTTCGGTGCTTCCATACGCCAGCTTTTCAGTTCCCTTCCATATGGTCTTTTGCCTTGCCAGACTCTGAGCTCTGAGCAGCTAGCACTGATGCTTGGCACAAAGCAGATGGTTAATATAGGATGTGGGATTAAATTCAAACATCACACCCTAAGAACTCTGCTGATTTCCTTTTTCCATTCAAGAATGGCTGACTCACAGATCAGAACTGCTGAGAAGGCAGACTTAGGGGACTGTGGTAGTTCCATCCCAGGCTCTATCTGGGGCACAAAGATGAGGAAGACAGAGATGCTGATTACAAGGAGCTCAGCCAGCTGAGATTAGAACAAAGTTCTCACCCAGGGCAGGAGTAGACTTCAGATGTGAATAATATTAAAAGGGCAGCACGAGGAAGCAAGGAAGCTTCCTTTGGAGCACAGTCCAAGAGCTGAAGAACGAACAGGTCTTTGAAAATGATGCTGAGAAGTGACTCTCTCCACAGTGGCCTGGAAGAGCTCAGTGAGGAATGTAGATAGTAATCATTTTTCTCTTTCCAAAGATGTAATGGACTGTTTATATTTATGAGGGCATGGTCAATAAATACAAGTACAGCCGAAAAAACAAAACAAGGAGCTCAGCCTGGAGGAGGAACCAGGTGCAGCACCAAGTACCAACCACTCAAGTCATTTTGGAATGCAGAATGAGGGTATTATTTTCAACCTCAAGGAACTCAGGGTGTCAGGAAGGCTTACCCAAATAGGGAACGTTTAGATCGAGTCTTGGAGGCTCAGGAGGAGTTAATCAGATGAGAGGGCCCAGGAGGAGAGAGTTCTCCAAGGCAATCAGGAAACTCAAGTTTCATGGGAGCACTGTTCTGGAGGCAGCTGGGGAGGTGGAAAGGCAGACTCATACTGAGGCTGTCACTCATACATTGATTGGCTGGTGCCTGGGAAAGCTTGAGATCATGTTGACACGGTTTGATTATGGTCTGTCCCCAGGAAGTTCATCATAAGACTCTTAATACCACCAAGCAAGGAGTTTAAGGGAACAACCTTGACTTTCTACCAGATGTTTTTCTTTTGACTATTTTAGCTTTTGTTCTCTGTAATTTCTTTGTAAAATGTTATCAAATATATGTTGACTTAAAATTTAATACCCAGGGATGAAGCTGCAGCTTGGCAGTACAGTGCTCTGTCTGTATATGTGGCTTGTTGAGTTCTATCCCCAACACCATAAAAAACAAAAATAAAAGTACCTAAATAAATATCTAACCTCCCCTCCACTATCCAGTCTTGGTTTTTGGCTTAATAAGCTCATAGCCTTGTGCTTGCAGGCTCGTAATTAACGCAGATTTGTATATAATGAAAAAAAATGTGATTAACTGGCAGCTACTTTTTACTAGCCTGCCCTCCTAGCAGACTGGAGGGAAGTATAAAATCCTCAATTTGTCTGCTGGTCTGGATTAAATTATGACTATACTGAGGAAGTGAGCTGAATAAACCAGATGAACTTGAGTGTGAAAGAGATAGGAAAGATCCATGTCCCCCAACCCCCTCTATTGTCTGGTTGGAAAAAAGCCAAGAGATCTGGCAACCTCATAGAGTTTAAAAACAATAAGCATCTTTTATTCTCCTTCCAGTCTCAGTGTCCAGAGGCTATGGTTAACAGGGTTTCAAAGTGCAAATCATTTCACCCCTCCAAAGTCGGAAGGAATACAAACTGTACGTCATCTCCAATCCATGTTCACCAGGAGTGCCTCGGGGCTTGTCATCCTCCTGGTACTGGGCCACAGTTCAGGGTCTGGCGGAAAGAGGTCTGTAGGACTTGGTGTCTGGCCCCTTGAGATGAGATTAGTTCTCCAATAGCCTGAGTGCCTCTTGGGGAGGCAGCAGCTCATGGGCGGGCGAACGAGGAATCCCTCTAGATAGCCAGCAGGTGTGGATGGAGTTAGAACCTCAGAATACTGCTAATGGCCACAATGAAAGCTGGGATCAGAGTAAGCCTGCTGACAGAGTGGGCATCTGCAGAGGGACTGCTAGGGAAGGATAATACAGTGCTAAAGCAACAAGAAAAAAAATGAAAAGTGATTTCTGCTAGTGTGAAGGGGAGCGAAGGGTCACAGGATGGTTTAGGAGCTCAGGACAAAGCTTTCCTTGGGCTCAGTGCTCTTCCCTTTTCCATAGCCATGAATGTAGGATAGGAAGAACCAGACACATGACGTCTAAGTAAGTCCACCTGGTGGACAATAGCCTGGTGGAAGACATATGAAATTCTGAATCTTCAGACAGACAAGGGTCAAAGAGGATACCAAATACTATTTGAATAAGAATTGGAAAAGTGAAGGCACTGATAAGAAGTAGCACAAAACCAAGTTGCATAAGGTGGTCAAAGCTTTGATGAAGGTTTGGCTAAGACTGCCAGGAAGTCTGAGCAGACAGACACTGTGGAACAGACAGAGTACCACAGGATGATAACAGACAGATGGAGGCTGGGCCTGCCCTCAGACCCATGTGAGCCTCCTCAGCCCCACCATCCACCTTGCAGCAGCAAACAACACATGGAGACTGTTAGGTTGGGGGAGCTGGGAGCCCTGCATTCAGCACAGGAGCAGGGTGGGTTAGGCCAGAGGTGAGGCTGAGTGAGTGAATCATTTAGGGGAGCAGAAAATGAAAAGCAGAGCTTACTTGTTGATGTTTGCAAGATAAATATCAGCTACATGACCCCCACTGGGACAGCTGGCCCCCGTTCTGGCTGTCACCTTTTCTTCAGGTGGCTCAGACATGACCTCAATCTCAGACTTGGGGCTGGACCTCTCCACGACACCATCCTCGCTGGGGCAGAAGGGACAGGGAGGTAGGGTAAAGGGAAAACAACACAAAAAGCAGTGTTAAATCAGCAAGATGCCTCCACCTCCGGACATACAGACAACCCCACACTGCTTGGAGGCAACAGCAACCCCTGGTGGGGCTAATTTTGTGAACAGGGGCAGGGAAACCTGAGGGCCTTTGGAGAGTTGTGTAAATAAAAGTAAATAATCCACTGAGTTCTATTTGATCCTCAGCTCCTCAGAAAAACTTGGCTAGGGACACCTGGGTTCAAGATATCTCATGGGATGGCCATGATGGAACCACCTCCTGGGGAAGGAGGTGGAAGTCCAGGTTGTGGTTTATCTGTGGTCCTGAGCACTGCTGGTAAGGACAGGAAGTTCTGTAGTAGCACTGGAGGGAGACGCCAGTGTTGAGGCAGGGTGTGGACACATGGTCACTGTCATAGCACATCTAGCCTCGCTCAGAGCATCCAAGATGGTCCCAGGTTTCTCCACTGCTCTCCTGGCCCCTTTGGCTACTGAAGATAAAGAAAGTCTCTTCTCCCCCACAATTCATCTTCTCTCGATCCCAGTGAAAATATACTGCTAAATATGGGAGGGTTCTGTCCATGCACAGATTGCCACCAGCTTTGCGATGTTATCAATACAGGGAGGAATTCCCTGAAGAACAAGCCCAGGAGAGGCTGAGAGGGTGTAGACTCATTCAAGATATCAACCTTTAAAAAAATAATAGTAAGGGAAGGACTAAAAACAGTGAGAATGCTGTATCCTAGAGAAGTGTGTGAGGGCAGAGTTAGGGCAAAGGGACAAGGAGGAAAGTTTGGGTAGGCTACAAGGTTTACTACTTCCTGCCTAGGAGACATTGCTTCAAAGAGTGGGAACCAACGACACCCTATCTGATAAGATCTCTAGAGCCCATTCTGGTTTCCCTGGTTCTCCGACATCCTTTTTACTCTTTGACTTCTTTTTCTTTTTTCACCATATTTTTTTGAGCCAGATTTCTCCTAAAAAGTAACCTGTCAATTTTCATTTGCAGGTGGAAATTACTATCAATGGCTTAGTAGGTTGAGGTGTAGGTAGTTGTTTAAAAAGAAGCCAAGTCTGGTGGCTAATGCCTCTAAGCTTAGCATGAGGGAGGCTACGGCAGTAGGACTGCTATGAGTTATATATAGTGAGCTCAAGGCAGCCTAGGTTACAGGTGAGACTGTATTGGCTGGTCTTATGTCAACGTGACACAATCTAGAAGGAGCGAACCTCAACTGAGCCAATAAAATCCTATTGGAGGACATTTTCTTAATTACTGACTGATTGGTGAGAGCCCAGTTCACTGTGGGTGGTGCTATCCATGGGATGTTGGTCTTGAATTCTATAAGGCTGAGCAAGCCATTAGGAGCAAACCAGTAAGCAGCATTCCTTCATGGCCTCTGCATCACCTCCTGCCTCCAGGTTCCAGCCCTGTTTCCCATTCTGACTTCCTTAGTGATGGAAGTGTAAGCCAAATAACCCCTCTTTCCTCCAAGTTGCTTTGGCCATAGTGTTTCATCACAGCAATCATAACCCTAACTAAGACAGAGACCTTCTCTCTTAAAAAAAAAAAAAAGCACACATGGAAGACAGGAAAGGCAGTGTGATGGTGGCGAACACTCTTAATCCCAGCACTTGGGAGGCAGAAGCATGTGGATCTCTGTGAGTTTGAGGCCAGCCTGGTGTATAGAGTGAGTTCCAGGATAGGCTTCAAAAGCTACAGAGAAACCCTGTCTCACGAAACCAAAAAATCCAAAGAAGCAAAAAACGTTTTCTCAATCTGACCTTTCCAGAAAGGAAATATGTATGGTCAAATTAAAAAGTTCACACTATCCCTCATTAGGCAGAAATATAAATACTGACTGGCACATTTCTAAAACAAATGAATTAAGGGGAAATTTAAAGGGAGAAGAGAAAGTGAGGAGACTGAGTTGCTGGGGTAGGGTGTTCTCCATGGAACTTAAGCCTGTGGACTGTTTTGGGAATTAGTCTCCCTCATGCTCCTACAGTTCCAGAATTGAAGTCTCACTCCCACAGTGCATTTGAGACCACCCTCAAAGGTGCCAGGGTCCCACTTACGTGTCTTGGACTACGATGTACTGATGGGGGATGAGTCCGTCTATACCATTGTGCCGGCCTTCCCACCAATCATCAGAAGCTCGCTGGTAAAGCAGCAGAGATGCTCCCTTCTTGAAAGATAGCTCCCGGGCTGTCCGGCCTACGTAGTCAAACTTAGCAATGGCCTCAATGGGCTCACATTCTGGGAAAGGCAGAAAAGAATGAAACATGTTTCTGGGACCTACAGATTCAAGAAACTGGATGAAAAGACTAATGAGCCGGACTTACAGTGGTGGGAGGATAACTCTAACAGCCTGGCATTTTCTCCCCTGTTTAGCCCCCTCTTCTGCCTGGGCTAATAACACACGGAGACACTGCTTTCCTGATAACTTCTTTGTTGACTCCACAGTCCTTTTTGCCAATTCCATCTATCATCCAACTTGTCATTCTGCATTTTTCCTTTCTTTTAGGCAGTGCCGTGGATTGAGATCAGGACTTTAGACATGGGGGTTCAAAGAAAAGTGCTTTACCACTGAACTCTATATCGAGCCCATCACACTGCATTTTTGAGTATTATTTCTCTTCTGATCATTTAGTAACCTATCAGCCATCTAACACTTGAATCATACCATATTTTAAGTAATTTATTTGTGTTATTCATTCATCCCAGTAGAATGTAAAATATGGAGAGTGGTTTGTAACAAATTTATGGAAAATGCAAATGAAAACAATTAGAAAAGTTAAAAGGGGGCTTGTAAGTGCAATGTGTTTTTACTTCCACGTGGGCTTTTCATTCCTTATCTACAAAATGAGATGATAGGAATAGTGCTCTTTTTCATGAAGTTGGTTATGGGGAGTCAATTACAATCTGTGAAAACTCAGTGTCCAGCACTGTGACATATGTACATTTAGGCACTGCTGTCATCACATCTCTGTTTTTGGCTGCAGGAGAGACTAAATAGTAAGTAGAAGGTGCTCTAAGATATAGACCCATTATATCATAAATACCACTGCAGGGAGGAAAGCTGATTAAAAAATAAATGCATGCCCACAAAGCTCTGGGTGGAAAGTCTGCTCCTAAATGGGCCGGCTGAAGATTCCACTGCAGAACTCCTATCTTAATAACAGTCCAGTCTCAGTTCTCTACAGCCTCGGGCACATCCCTTGACTCTTGCTTTTTCAGCTGCCCCATTTATCTCACTAGAGACAAAACCTCTAAGAGTATGAGAACAAGGCAGTTCTGAACACTGAATTCTCTAGTAATACCTGCGTCTCTCATAAAGATCACACTGATCCTTCTAACACCAGGATCTAAACAAGTCCTATCTCTCCTTCAAATCCTTCAAATATTGCAGTATTTCTATAGGTGGGGGAGGAGAAGGGCGGGGCAGGCAAAGTTCTGTAGACTGGGCCATTTCATGCTTCTTCCCATAAAATTCTGAGGCCCCTTGTCAACTGTTGAGACTTCCAGAGACCGAGTGTTCCAGAAACGGAGGTGTAGAACGGCGGGAGGCAGGGAAAATGTGCTGGCTGGCAGATTCTAATAAATCATGGGCACTCTAGAGGGGCCGGAGGATGACAGCTGAGCATTCCATCCCTGGTTGCACACTCACAGGCTGTTCAGCACACACAAATCTATACTTTGGAAGGGGTCAATTTTTCCAATTGGCAGGCATGCAAGTGTGTGGTTTCTGTGTCCTCATTCTTACTCCCCTTACTTGGCTTTTGTTGAATTCTTGGCACCTAGCATCTCTATTCCCCAGGCTTGATGTTTTTTAAATGAGCTTTCCTTTGCTTTGGCTTCCAGTAACCTGGCAGCATTAGGAACTTCTACCTACTGGACTCATGCTAGATAGGGAATTACGAGGAGGGCAAAGGGCCGAAGGACTACAAAAGGCCTAGTTATTCTCCTCTGATCCAACCTCTTATGTAGAATGTCCTCCAAGGAAAGGAGAGATAAGAAACTCCTTTCTTCTCCTTAGGGTCCTCTGGACAGCACAGTTCATTGACTGCACAAGACACAACCATCCCTGCTTTCCTAAGAGCCATAGCATACCATCCTCACTCGTGTGGTGCTCTGCTGTCACATCCTGGGTGCAGTCTTCAGCAGAGGTAGTCTCTCCATGAGTGCTGTCACTGCAAGAGAAGAAGAATAACTGGGACATCAGTGTTTGCTCCTAAAATTCTCTTCTTCCTCCTGACACAGCCTCCTTGGTACAGAGAGGCATCACAACAGCTGTGGGTTTGCTATACTCTAAGTACACAGCCATCAACTGCTAAGAATAAAGGATCTCTGGAGGTTCTGCTCCTCAACCACTTGTCACTACGAGGGACTTAAAGTGCCTTGAGAGAAAGGGAAGGCCTTTGAAGTTACAAATAAACGCTTCAGAACACACAGAACAGCTCAGTCACTCAGGTCAATTCTCTTCATGAATCCATTCCTGGTTCTTAAGGAGGGAGCATGGCAAAAGGGAAGCCCTGGTATGTATGTATGTATGTATGTATGTATGTATGTATGTATATATTATCAGGAACAACTGGACCTGAAAACTGACTTTGATGTTTGATAGCTGTTTAGTTGTGTTTTGTTTTTTATTGTTTTTTAATAGACAGTTGTGTGAGGAGTCATTGGTGTAATGCAGCCAAGACTTTGGCATGAGGACGCTTAGTGTTCCTCCTTTCCAGCTTCCTTTTAGGGTGCTGCGTGACTTATTAGCCCGTGCACTGATGAGAAAGTAGGAAGTGAGTAGCGGCGAATGGAAACCAAGAGCAAAGGAAAAAGGAAGGATCTGCTGTAGATTAGATTTTAAGAAAGGCCAGGGGATGAAAGCTCAGCCAAGTTCTTAAGAAAAATTTATCTTCTCTTAAATCATCCTAGGTAGAGTTGAGAACAGCTATAGTTACTAAGGAAGTATTTCTTCTCTTATCCTCAGGGAGGAGATGGATGTTCTTCAAGAGCAGGAAAAACCCTCTCACCCTGTCTGATATTTTTTTCTCCTCTGGCAATAGGTGCCAACAACAAATCCTTCCAGGCAGGTCTATGAACACCACACTCCACTGCCTACTGCCATGGAACTTCTCCCTACCGAGGACACAAGCCTTTCCCTCTAGGCAGCTAGTTAGAGCCACGTAAAGCCAGTCCTAGGAGGGCTCTTAAGCTACAGAGAATTCTCCGGTAGAACATCAATAGGGATTTTTCTTTGTTATTTATTTTATTTTTTTTTTTAAAGTGGGTATTTCCTCACTGTTTTCTGGGCCTAAAAAACCCATGGGTTAGGTGGCATCCTGGAAATGCATCAGCGGTACCCAGGGCAAAGGTTCATTCCTGTACATCCACTAAGGCATCAGAGCATTCTTACACTGCAGGGAGCCCTGCAGGTCTTGTTAAAAATCATATATTATCCCACCCCAAGCTTTTCTGAGTCACAAGATCTGTCTGGGGTTGGAGCATCTGATTTTCACTTTGGTACCATAGGATCTGGTGCTGTTGGTTTGGGCTTTCTACTTTGAAATCAGCACCATGGTATCATACTTTTTGAGGCTCCATGGAGTCCTAAAATCCCACGCTTCTCCCCTCCTATGCCTCTGGCCCTGACAAGAAGCCCAACCCTATCAATACCCAAGGTCCAAGGTTCCAGCAGCAGTCTCAGGCAACCAGAATCCAGTTTAGAGACTAACAATTAGTCAGAAATGGACTTTGCCTCGTGCCTCTTCTCTCTGATGGTTCTGGTCATTTGGCTACTCTCCTAGATTTTAGGGGCTTATCTTTTCACTGCCTTAGCTCCCTGCGACAGTATCTCTCTTTTTTCCTAAATAAGAGGTCAGGAACAAGGTCACTGACAACTGCTCCTTGTTGCCTCTGGCACAAGGCCTGGGACAGTGGCACAAATGTTCCCTGACTACCTGTGCAGTATATTCCAACAAATATCACATATGTAACACATGGGGAAAGGGCTGAGGGAACACCTGGGAGGAATCTAGAAGAAAGAGCTTTCATGTGTGCATCCTGGTAAAGCACACTGCTTGGTCTCTGGTCCCTGGGTAGGGACTGGGTATCAGGGAGCTGGAGTACTATGCCCCTTTATTGGTCCAGAACTTGCAGTGATTTGACATTTAAGAAGTGAAGGCCAGCCGGGTGGGTGGCACACACACACCTTTAATCCCAGCACTTAGGAGGCAGAGGCAGGCAGATCTCTGTGAGTTCAAGGACAGCCTGGTCTACAGAGTGAGTGCCAGGACAGGCTCTAAGGCTACAGAGAAATCCTGTCTCGAAAAACCAAAAAAAGAAAAGAAAAAAATAAAGAGAAGAAGCAGCAGCAACAGTGAAGGCCAACTTTACAGGTAAAGGCAAGAACCGAAGGCACTGCTTCACAGTTCTTAGCTGCTCGTGCAGGAGCTCCCTACTGGGCCTACCGCCCTGGTCACCATGGACCACCTGTCAGTGACAGAAAGTTTGGCCTCTAAGCCAGCTACCTGAGGTGCCTGCTCAGATGCATACCTAAGATCAGAAGTCGAGGAGAGAGTGGATCTATGGATGCCACTGCCATATGAAGTTCACAGAGCCACCAATGTTATTTTCTTCACTCCTTGGGCAACGGTTCTGAGGGGGTCACGGAGAACCATGAACCAAGTGGTGGCTAATTAAGTAAACACATGCCTTGTCCTTTCCTACCGTGGTTGATAGCAATGGGGTAGGAAGGATTGGTTTCAGACGCTAAATTTAGATGGAATCTGATTTCAGCTGCTTATGTCTTCAACTTCTATTGAAAAACCAATTAGGAAAGAAGGGAGGAGGTATGGGACACCAGGGTTAAGAGAAAGGCCACTGCCTCTGTATCTGGTTAAAACGGCACTATAAAGCTACAGTATTACAGTATCTGTGTGGGTGCTAGATGGAGCTTTATCCTAGAAGAAGACCGGGGTTGGCTTCCCAATTACTGGGGTTTGTTGAAACACTGCACTGGCCTCTCTGGGTTGCAAGGAGTTTATCTATAAAAGAGAAGTAGTATTTCACTTTTTGGAAATGATTTGTGCATCTAAAAGAGGTAGTCTTACACAAATGTACCCAGAGGTTATTTTCAGAATTCTGTTCTCAGGCTAGGTCATGAAAAACCTTGTCTACCTAATTTTGTACTTTTCCAGGGGGTGGAACTGTATCTAACAACCCCAAATATATTTACACTTTTTCTCGTCACAATTCTCTGAAAGCATTTTGTTGTGCCATCTTACAAACTCAGTCAGGAGACTGTGCCTCACATGCAGACTCCTCCTCCTAAGAACAGGATTCCCTGGGGCCCAGCTCTGACTCCATCACAACACACAGCTTGGGCACAGTGGCCTAAAGAACAGTAGGTCTAAAGACCACTTTGTAAACTCTCCAACCCCTGATGTTGTCATTATCCTTCAGGATGGTCCCTAGTTATACAATACTCAAAAAAAAAAATAGGAAGTGGGTGAAGAGACACTCATTCTGTAGGTGTTTCCAACGTGGGAGAATGGCCAGCCCCTGCTACATGCAGAACCTGTAAGTGGAGGTGGGAGAACCTGGCTGTTTCCTTTTGGGTTTTGCTTGACCATCTGGCCCCTATACCAGTTATTATCAGGCAATCCCTCCTTTTCCCCCTCCCTGCCCCCTACCAGTAATCCTCCATGCTTCCTCCTCTGCTGTAGATGGGGCCCTCCAGCTCCCTGGGACTTGGGAAGATGTTCTCATGTTGGATGATGATGGTTTTAATCAGTTCATTCACGTGTGCTTGACAGGACACCTGGTCGTGGCCCTCTGGCACTGACATCAGTGAGGGCCCGAAGCAGATGGCAAGGTTGTAGGGGTCCATCATGTTCTCGTCACTGAACTGTGATAAGCTGGAGGAAAAGGGGAAGGGGGGATTGGAAAGCTCACATGAATGCCCAGAAAACACAAACACAAGAGACATTGCCAGAAGGAAAGTTGTAAGTCCACAAACTGCCACCTGCCTTTCTGGGCATCAGAGACCTTCTGGAAAGTCAGGTGGCAAGAAGGGAATGACTACTGACAGCTATTCAGGAGCCAAGGAGAGGAAAGACATACGACCTGCTTGCAAGTCTGACTCCTTTTCTCCAGTTCCCTGATCAAATCCATATGAGTCTCACTTTTACCCTTACCTTTGACCTTAGGCGTCAGAGTCACCCTGCGTTGAGAACATACCATATAACTCCTCAGAACTGGACATGGTTCCCACAGACTATTCACTAAACTACTGAGCAGATGGGGACCTCAGCTTGCTCTGGGAAACAGTCATAGGACACAGTAACTGTACATCATATGCATTCATGCACGCATACAAAAAAAAATCAAATTATCGGGCATTTTCTATTCCAAATTTTATACTTACCAGAAATGAAGTCAGCTGATTAACTTTTTATTCTACCAAGACAGTGAATTTTTTTTTTAGAGCAGCTAATGTAATACTGTTTAATATTTTTATAATATCCCCTTGTATTATTATATCCAGGAAATAATTAGGCATTCTGTTTATATTCTGCTTAAGGTTCCCTTGGATGTAGGCTAATTTCATTACTGTGTATTTATTTAGAGATTCCTCCCATTCTCTGCCAGAAGCTGCTCCAGTTATACCCTAACCTTGGCCATGGACCCAAGTACTCAACCATCACTATGTCTGCTGAGTCCCCATGGGTCTATGCCTGTGGTGGTCTAAACAAGGATGGTCCATAGGCTCATATATTTGAATGTTTAGTCATTAGGGAGTGACACTATTTGGGAGGGATTAGGAGGTGTGGCCTTGTTGGAGGAAATGTTCACTGAGGACCAGCTTTCAGGTTTCAAAAGCCTAAGTAAGGCAGGTTCAGTGTCTCTCTCTTCCTGCTGACTGTGGATCCAGATGTAGAACTCTCAGCTACTTCTACCATGTCTACCTGTATGCCACCACTTTCCCCACCACAATGAAGACAATGTAGACTAAACTGTAAACCCTAATTAGATGCTTCCCTTTATTAGAGTTGCCATAGTCAAATACTGACCAAGATGCTGCCTGTCCTAGCACAGAAAGCTGGGCTGACTTTGGGTACCTCATCTATAAAGCTTGAGGGGCCTATAGACATTGCTGAGGAGCTTGGCCTTCCTATGGTAATCAGCAGTAGCCTCTCAGTCCAATTCTGACAGATTCTGAAAAGAAACTAGAGACTTTGGATACCACTGTCATCTGGATCGGGTGAAGTTTATTTCTAGTGTGCCCCAGATCCAGACTCATGTTGCAAAGCTGGTTTTCCTCTAACAAATGGATTTCTTCTCTGTTGGAGAATCTGACATGCACCTTGTGATCCTTCTATAATCACTGTAGGACATCAGAAATGGCATGGCATGTTGTGAACAACTGCCATGGAAAATACCAGTGAAGAAGCACTATCCCACAGTATCAAAGCTAAATGCAGGAGAGGCCAGTGGGGAAGGGTATCATCTCAGTGGTTAGATGGCTTCATAGGAGATGATTTGTTTTTGCTTAAGGCAGGGATTCATTATGTATCCCAGTCTGGCCTCAAACTCTTTGCCTTCCTGCCTCAGCTTTCCAAATGCTGGTATCACAGCCTTGTACCATCACATCCAACTCATAGGAATTATTAGAGATTTAATTTTAAAATCCTTCTCTGGACATAGAGTTTAAAGAAAATAGAGGTTTAGAAAAGATTGGGGAAATATATAAGTCTGCTTCATCATCAGATTAAAACGGGAGAAACAGGAGAGATTATTACTTTGATAACCTCAGCAGAAATGACCCATACATGAGATGCCACAGGCTAAAACTGAAGCTATCCAGGTCCTGGTATCTTGGAGACAGAAAGTTCAGTAAAGCCTTCTTTCTTTAGTCTGATCTGATAGTGTTTTAGTAACAACAAGAAACAAGAGTTTCTGAAAAGTGTGATAGTCAAAGAGAAGCACTCTATTCCCAAGACACCAGGGTGAAAGTTCTACAACAGACGAAGGATGTAAAATACCCTGTACCCACCCCGCAAAAGACTGTTCTATTCGTAGGAGGCTACAGTGACAAGGACCTGGAAGAGGACATATCTTTGTGAACTGTAGTCTTATGAATCTATGTCCAGTTTGCGATTCCCATTAAAAGCGAAACCAAATCAAAACAACCAAAAAGGACCAAGAACCTTGTGATTGCTTATCTTGGTTGTCAACTTGACTTGCCTAGGAAGAAGAAACCTCAACTGAAGAACTCCTTCTATCAGATTGGCCTGTGAGCGTATTATTCTTGATTATTATTGATGCAGGGGGCTCAGCCCATTGTACACAGGTGAGCCTGGACTGTGTAAAAAAATGTAGCTATACATGGGAGCAAGTCAGTAACCACCACTCTTCTGTGGTTTCTGCTTCAAAGTCCTGCCCTACATGCGCACGCACACACACACACACACACACACACACACACACACACACACACGTAATTCAGAATCTGCTGCATACCCGTCAAAAATGCTGTCATCAAGAAAATAACTGACAATAAATGTTGGTGAAGATGTTGGGAAAGAGAAACCCTTACTTAAGACTGTAGAAATGTAAACTGATGCAGTCTCTATGGAAATCAGAATGCAGGTGCTGCAAGTACTAAAAATAGAACGTGACTTAGCTTAAATACTCTTGAGTATATTCCTGAAGGACTCTACATCAACATGTTACAGATACAGTTGCAATCCCATGTTTACTGGTGCACCATTCATAGTAGTCAAGGTATGAAACAGATGAATTGATAAACAAAATGTGGTACCTGTATTTTATTCAGGTATAAAAAAAACGGAATTATAACGTTGACAGGAAAATGGACAGGACCAAAAATCATTGTGTGTGTGTGTGTGTGATGTGATGTGAAAACAGAAAAGGGACTGGGAGAGAAGAGAAGATCTACAGGGAGGGGAAGGGAAAAAAGGAAGGGTAGTGGAATATATGTAACATGAAAGCAGAAGCAGGCACTTTTTGGAAGAGGAAGAGGACTGGCAAGAAAAGGTGGGGGCATGGGGAGTAAATAGGAACAAAGTAAAATGTATATATGCATAATGATATAAGACTTTGGACTCACCAAAGTCTTATAGCATAATGAAACCCACCACTTTATACTCTAAATAAAAATAATAATAAATAAAAGTATACAATTTGGTGGCATTGAGCATATTCACAGTGTTGTGTAACCAACCATTACCTCTAAGTTGCGCAACATTTTCACCATCCCTGAAAGAAACCTAGTATTCACTCACAGTTCATTTCCTGGCTTAACGATAGTCTACTGTATGAGTAAGGCACATTTTGTGAGTTTAGAGGCAGAACTTCCACAAACTGCACATTCAGATGAGATCCATAGCCCTAACGCAATGTCTTCGCAACAATGTGAGACTCTGGACTAGAGTTCACTAAGCTGCATCTTAAGTGCCAACCTATAGCTATCATGAGCTTGATGCCTTGAGATTCAGTATGTGTACAGTCCAGGAACAAACTTCAGTGAGGATTCAAGTGTGGGTTCAGGTAAAGTCTCCACGAGGAACCACCTGCCAACTCCTGATGCAACTGCTGGCAGCTGCACACTGATCAGCTGTCATCTTCCCATGGAGACTTTACAAATTGTGTCTACGTGCTACTATTTTCCGAATCACTGTGATTATAAATGTTTCACATTTTCCATATAACACCTTGTTGATCAGTATATTTTAAAAACTATATATACAATAATATTTTAAAACTATACATACACAAACAAATTAATACTTGGAATGAATGCCATTTCCATACTTTTTTTCTAATAATGGCCATTGTCTCTTTTACTGCATCAAGTTTATTCTATTGTTTCTCTCTCCTGAAAATCCAGGAGAGACAACAGTTAATCTGTCTTCCCTGTGACCTGGGCACTAAGGGGACTGACTAACCCTAAAGTGAGCAGTATTTTCAGGCTATGAATGAGCACACTGATGAGTTATGACTAGCTCATCTCAAGGACAAATGGGGTGCTGAGTTAGGACTCTGTTGGACTCAACTTTGAGGAAGATGCACACTATAGACTCAGGGTTCTTTGTAGTTGTGCATTGGGATAGATGATGATGTGGGCCTCCCAATAAGGTCTCAGGCAGGAGCTACTAATCCCAGATAGCTATAAGGCTGGGCTGATCATGACTGTCTAAACACGACAGACTTGTAAAATGGACTCTAAAGTTGTAGTTATTTTAAACAAAGATTAACTATGTGTGGGGACTTCACATTCACAAGGTATGTACTAAAACTAAAACATTCTGGCCCTTTGATATTTTTTATGGTTTATTTAACTTTATCTTATGTGCATTGGTGTGAAGGTGTCAGATCCCCTGCAACTGGATCTTTAGACAGTTGTGAGCTGCCATGTGGGTGCTGGGAATTGAATCCACGTCCTCTGGAAGAGCAGTCAGTGCTCTTAACCACTGAGCCATTTCTCCAGCCCCCATTCTGGTCCTTTGGTTTATCTTTTGTTTCCCTGTTTTGATGACAACATGGAGAGGGCTGGGGACCATGGTAAGACATGCCTGCTCCACCCAGTTCAAAGTATATCCTACACCTGACCCTTCCTGCCATCTTCTGGTCTAGCAACACCTCAGAGAGACCATGCCATGGTCTTGGAGTAGGTCTCTTTTCTCTTTGACCTTCTAAAGTAACTTCTCTATAAAGTAACTGGCAGGTTTGAAAATTCATTCCTAAACGTCAGATCATATCACTTTTCTCTTTAAAGACTTTTAAGTCATTTCCCAAATTTAAACTTACTATTTATTACTGTGACTCTCAAGTCTTCAGTGTTCTTATAGCCCCCCTTTCTCACCCTTTAGGCTACTGTTTATACCTGGTCTTCTCAGAAAGGCCTTTGTGGCAAACACATCTCTAAGCCAGCTCTTCTTTAATCCTTTGTCTATTAGAACCTCTGAACTCTATCCCCATCTTTACTCTTCTTAGCACATATTCTAACTGATGTATCTACTATTGTCTGTTTCCTCACTTAGACCACGATCTAATGATAAAATGCTTTTCTTTTTCCATTTAACATCATGTTTTTAATAGCCTAGCATTGTAGTTGGTGTATGGCAGATGTTCAGTAAGTGTCTGATAGGGTGGGTTATCAGACATAGATCTATATGAAAGTCCTGGGTAGTCAAAGCTAGGTTTTTACTGTGAAGGCTACTCACTGATTGAGGAAGGCAAAGAGGTATCTCATGATAATCAGAGTGGGTTTGGGCAGGACCAGGACTTTCCGGATATGCACAGCTCTCTCTTGCAGATTGTCCATTGCTGAAACAAGAAAGGCATGTGTTACCTGCAGCACGACTGCAATCCTGAGGAAAAATCAGAAGCTTCTCTCCACCAGCAGTGTAACTCACAGAGCAAGCAGAGCCAGCCCTGTACAGCCCCGGTATAGTGACAAGAGTTTCATCTTGGATGCTTTGTTGGGTGAGGTTGCTGCAAGAGACCACATGCTGGGACCCACACCCTGATTGGTACAGGATTCAAGGTGTTATGTTCCACAGGCACAGACTAGGTTGATACATTCCTTCTCTAATTTAAACAGCAATAGATATGGAGTTGACGTTAATCCTGTCATGACTACTGAATGCTCAGTCCTGAAGGGTCCCACACATGAGAAGGGACAGAGGCTGTGTAAGTCCTTCCTTGACCTCTGTACACACAGTTAACTTTTCCTCCTCTGAATAAATCTGGCTTCTACCTTCCTTATCTAAAGTAGAGATGAGCAGAGTCTGACCAGAGAGAGGAGAAAGTAGGATCTTGGATAAGTAGTAAAATCTGTGAGGAAGACTAGAGAAGATTCCTGAGTTTTGTGCTATGGTCAGGTTAGTACAGATTTGGCTATCTGCCTGTGGCCTCTGGTCATGAATAGCCTCTGACTTCAACAGTGTACCAAGATGATCTGGCTGTCTTTTATGAATAGCAAATAGCGAATACTGTATTAGGAACAGTAACAATAAGAATTGGGCAGCTGAAGATTCTGGTGTGTTTTGGCAACTTCAGCCCTATGTAAAAGACTTCACTTAAGTCCAGTCTAGGAAAAGACATAAGTATATGACCCATGTAATATATGAATGTAACTGTCTACATAACTCTTTTCCATTACTCAAAAAATGTGCAACAAACAAAGAGAACTAGTATCCCAGATACACAGGCTTTTCTCAGAACAACCGAGAGAGGAACAAGTAAGTATTCAGACCAAATACAAGGTCAAATGAAAACACAGGAGGCATGAAAACCTTGTTCGACCTGGGAAAAAACCTCTTCTGCATTTATTCTTTTCACTTTCTGTGGCCATCATTCAGATGGGTCTATGTAGAGCTATCTTTATGTCAACTTGACACTAGCTAGGGTCATTTGGGAAGAGGGGACCTTAATTAAGAAAATGCCCCTACCAGATTAGCCTGTGGGTAAGCTTCTGGTATGTTTTCTTGATTAAAGTGGGAGTGCCCAGTTCACTGCGGGTGCTGGTGGTCTCAGGTGCTATAAGAAAGCAAGTTGAGCAAACCACGGGGATCAAGCCAGTAAGTAGCATTTCTTCATGGCTGCAGCAATAGAATCCCTAAACAGAATAATCTACTTCCGGAATAACTTGATATTAATTTAAATTTCCATGGAATCAATTGATAGGATGTTTCAGTATTATGAACTGAACTAAAGTCTAGGAATAGTTTTTCAAGACTTAGAAGAGAACTCTAAAGAATAGTGATCTTTCTCTGGAAAAAAAATTAAATGGCACTTTTAAGTGCACAGAGGGGCTTTTGTTTTCAGACACATGTGAACACATGTAGCAGGTTAAGCCAAGACACATACATAGCAACAATTAGGGAGCAGGGTCACTGTTTATGTTTCTCTGCTCCTATTAGTAGCACAGATATTGTATATAAGCTTTAAGATGGAGGAATTTAAAAACATTTTACTAAAAACAATAAAACCAGAGATGTGAAGGAATTAATGTCCGAGATTAATTAGAAAGGAAAAAGTTAGGAATCTTGACTTGGATTCTATATTATTACTGTTAAATCATCTTTTCTTTCCCCCTTTCAGGGATAAAACAGTGGAGATGAAGAGACAAAACTCTCAGGCAGAAATAAAGAAAGAAAAACTTTACTGAATAGCTTATGAGGAAGCAAACTGATGGAAATTTCCAAATATCTCGCTGCCATTCGTGGGGTATAATACTTACTGACACAGGCAATCAAGTCATGGAAGATGTCCTTGGGAAAGAGCGGTTGTTCCAGCCCCCGGAAGTAAAGCTTGAGGACACCAGCTATGGAATCCATGTCATGGTCATTCTGGTCCCCAGCCAGAGGGTCCTCTCCTGAAGATAGGTTACCCCCACCCCAAAATGAAAGAAAGCGAGTTAGGCAAATGACAAAGCATTCTCATCTCATTATCTCTCTGCCCTGCATGACAACCATGATGTGGCATACTGTTCAGGTTAATCAACACTCCCTGTGGGCTGGAAGGTGGAAACCAAGAAGTACTTCTCTGATAAGAATCATGAAACTGGGAGGAGACTGAGCCTCCAGTGGAGGGAAAACAAGGCCAGAAGGCCAGCTTCTCTGACTACCATATCAGAGGACACCTACTGACAGAACAGTCATCCCAGAATCCCAATGGAAATTTTCATATCAAATGTAATTAAATTTAATGATAACACCAACCTTAAATTGAAACTATATATATCCATTACAGTGACAGAAATTGCCAAAGCTTGCCCATTACCTTAATAGACCACAAGATGATAAATGGGATACAATGAACAGGCACATTAGCCTTGATATTAACTGCCACCAAGGGTTCTGGAGAGGCTATTAACTGTCTGGATATATAGTAACTACTTGGGTTTTGGCAGATCATCACAGGAATGAAGCAGGATGGGCGGGGCTAAGAAAGAAGGAAGCTGGGACATGCCTCAGCATCTCTCTGTGTACCTACTGAAAGTACAGAGAAAACAGGCAATCTCTTAGGTTTATAAGCACAGGGAACTCTAAGGGAAAGGTGGAGCCAGTTCCCCAGGGCTGAGACATTTACCTTACAGCTCTTTATTCCCACCTCACCTCTCTCAAAGGCATTTTTGATGTCATTCACTTCCACTTGTGATCCAGACACCCGGAAAATTCCCTCATGTTGTAGGCCTAGAAACACACAAAATAGAGTGGTCAAAGTGAAAAAAGGGCAAGTTCATAGTCATAAGGCCAAGATTAGTAGAATACCCATCTCCATTGGTACAATGCATTTAAGTATTTTGTCTTTTCTGATTTAGGACAAAGGAGAAAAACAGGGCAGTGATGTTGGAAGTCTTTGGGAGGATTATGAGGCATTAACATAAGAAAAGCATCTGACCAAAGACTTAAGGGAAAAGATGTTCACATCCTCTTCTGATTCCAAGGGAGATTCCCAGGTTGTTGTTTTTTCTTCTTACCTGTAGACTGGGAGTCACTGGGTAGTGCTTTCTTATTGTTTGTGGTTAGGAATGGAAGTGGGTCTTGGCAGGTAAGGTATTAGTTACCATTAGAGAGGTTGCCAGAGAAAGACTGAGACTGTTCTTTAGCATTTTAACACTATCCCATTATTCTAGGGGAAAATGCTTTCTGAACTGATGAAAAACAGAAGATATAAAAACAAAAATGAACAATCAACAAACAACATTGTCAGTCCATGTCCTAGGCACTGATCACTGACTGCTTGCCACCCTTTTCTAAAGAAAACATGTAAAGACTGTATTATGAAGTGAATAAAAACCTCTCTTCTCATGGTTGTGCTGGATTAGACAGTCATGAAAAATAATCCTTATATAATTACTGCCACTGCCATTACATATAAAGTATTTGATCCTCACATAACCTTCCAAGGTCAGGGCTAGCAGTAATCCCATCTTTAGATGAGGGGACTGGTGAAGACATAGCAAGAACCAGGAACAGAGGTCAATGACAGTTTTTTGTTGCTGTTTTTTTTTCTTTTTGTGAAGATTTATTTATTTATTATATATACAGTGTTTTTTGCCTGCCCGCCTGTCAGAGGGCACCATAATCTCATTATATGATGGTTATAAAGCCACCCGTGTGGTTGCTGGGATTTGAACTCAGGACCTCTGGAAGATGAGCAAGAGCTCTTAACCTCTGAGCCATCTCCCTTAAAGGCAGTCTTGTGGCTGCAATAACAGGCAGTTTTCGGTGTCAGACACGAGGCCTATTGGTCTGCAAGAGCAGAGGATGGGAGAGAGCCATCCTGGCCTGTTTGTACTTAGACACAGCTTACAGAGAACACCACACATGCAACTGTAACATCACCAGTGACTGGCACACTGAGGGGCTTAGCTAATATTCCTAGCTGTATTTTCAGTCTTTCTCCAAGATATCCTTTGTCAACATTTTTCTGTGATCCTCCAAATGTCTTGATATAAACCTCAGACTGATTCTAGAAACACAAACAAAATAGAATAATGTTGCATTTTTCTAGATGCTTCAGAACATTCTATTAGTTAGATTTCTGAAACCACATAGGCCAAGACTGAAGTTATAGAAATCTGACTGAAAGTCAGTGAAGAGAATGTGACTCCCCAGCTTGTAATAAGATGTAAGCTGTTTGTCCCTCTAAGGTAATCCCTAAAATATTCCTCACAGTATGGCAAGCTACAGTAAAATCCCATCAGTACCAGTTCGATGGTACCGTTAGTTACCAAATGGGGCATGAGAGTCAGAAATTGCTGTTTAAAAACAGAATGTATCATACATAGCAAAGCTCTGACAGAAACAGAAACACACCCAAGGATTTATCAGAAACACAGGGTAAAAGGAAATGTCATCTCAAACCAAGCTACTTGGTGTGTTTTAGCTGCAGAAGTACTACACAGCTCCTTGAGGGGGTAACCTTAGTGTTTCTGAGTAGGTTTGATGGTTAAGAAATATAGCCTTGTCTATGGGACCAAGGAAGAACAAATGAGAGATGAGCTTTCCTAGAGAATGGATACCGTAGATAATAACCACTTATTATTGTGTGTGCATGTGTGTATGTGCAGGTAAGTGTGCTGTGGTACATGTGTGGAGGTCCATGTTCTGAGGATTATCTCACATACCAGCTTGCAAGGCAAGCACTTTTATCCACTGAGCTATCTCACTGGCTGACCAGACAGAATCTTTAGAGTACCTGGTGTGATAATCCTGAGAGGAGAAACAATATATTTTACAGAAAGAAGAAAACAGTTGGTTTTCTTTGCTATAATGTATAACCAAAATAAGATATCCATAATCTTTATTCTTTGTTTCTTCTTAGCACACACTAACATAAGCACATAAAAATCCCTTGGATTTGTGTAAACTATTTGGAAATGACACAAAGCCTGCTGGACTTAGCTCTTGCTAAGAGTTGTTCTCCTAGGTAACTCTTGAACTGACTGTTGCAACAACTACCTCACATTCCTTTCTTGAAAATGGTAGATTAAAAAAAAAATCCCTTCATGGTTAATTTTAGTGGTTCCCATAGCACGATTAATAAAAACCCAGAGACAGATATTGGGGTCCAATCTGAAGGTCAGAAAGGCGAAACAGTCAGCTACTGGCTCTTACCGAAACGGCGATCCTGACTCCAGGAATCCTCAGAATGAGACTGACAGAGTTATCTCCTTCCACTTATATTCCTCTCTAACGCTGGGATTAACGGCATGCACCACTACCATCCAGTTTTTATGCCAAACTAGTGTGGCTACGGGGATTAATGGTGTTTGTCACCACTGGTTGGTCTGTAAGGCTGACCAGTGCAAGTGTTTTACTCTCTGAACTTCAGGGAAGCTTTATTTACTAAAATACAAATGAAATATCACTACAGGTTCCTCATATTTCTCCTCTTGAATATCCTCATGAATCACCTTGATCCACCACTATGAAAACTGCTAGTTTCCTCATCTAAATAATGGGATCTATTATAATACTTATCTTCCAGAAGATATGATAATCGAGTGTAAAAATTCCTAGCATTTAGTGTGCCATAGACTCTTTCGAGGCTAACAAAGGTTATAAATCCACTAAATGTACATATACAAAATATTTTAGCATAGCTTCTAGGGAATCCATGAATTCCTTGAATCTTTTCCTTGGGCAAACAGCCAATTCAGCTAGACAAATATTTTGACTAGCTATTTTGTGTTGAATTAAAAATTTTAAAAAAATCAACCATGGCCAGAAGTGGTGGCTCAGACCTACAATTCTAGCACTCTGGAGGCTAAGGCTGGAGGATTATTGCAAATAGTCAGCCTGGTTCTTCTAGTAAGTTCCAGTCATGGCTACACAGTGAGATCATGTCTTAATATCATCTAACCCCAACAATCCCAAGTCAACAATGTATTGTTAACTGACACTTCTGTGATAAAAAGTATTTTATACACACACACACACACACACACACACACATACACCCTTTTGTCTTTGAGTGTGTGTAGCCTTGCAGGTACTTGTTAGTGGGGGGGTATACACCTATGTATGCATGTGTGTGTGGAGGTCAACATCAGATCTCTTCCTCTATTGTTCTCTACCTTTGCTACTTTAGAAAAAAGGTCTCTTGCTGAACTTTAAGCTCTTTGCTTTTGCTTGGCTGGCAGAGCAATGAGGCTCAGTGATCTGCCACATACAACTCTGCTTCCCACATACAATTAGCACTGGGGTTACAGGCATGTGCTGCCATGCCCAACTTTTTATATGGGTTCTGGAGATCTGAACTCAGGTTCCTGAACTTGCACAGTAGGTACTTTACCAACCAAACTGTAAGTTTAAAGTTTATAAATCAAAATATTGTTTTCTAAAGTCATTTATTAGCGATTCATTCTCCTCATCTGTAATGCAGCTAGGTGAACTTGTTACTGTTTACATTCTATTTGGGCTTTTACTCACATCTATCTATCTATCTATCTATCTATCTATCTATCTATCTATCTATC